GGGGGGGGGGGGGCCCCCCCCCCCCCCCCCCCCCCCCCCCCCCCCGCTTCTCTTCCCTAATATGTGGCACTGCCAGGTTCACCAGGCGCTGCGTCTTGTTGGGACAAACAACGAGCAACGATAATAGAATATGACCTGTGCTGAGTGCCACCATGGCCTGCCCAGCGCCGGGTGACATCAGAACTATTCCAGCAGAGACTCCATGCCTGATGACCCACAAAGCTGCCCCCATTCTCCATCTCAGAGAATCGTGACTTGTCCTTCTAGATGTCCTCGTAGGACACCAACCTGCAGCAGGGTGGTCTGGGTCCTAGCCCAAGCCCCCTGGCCCTATGCTCAACACAGTGTCACCCCTTTACCCTTCAGTGAAAACTGGCACTACCACTTCAACCTCAGAGCCTTTGCACTGGCAGGTTCCGAGCCTCGAAGGCTCTTTCCCACTCAGCTTCAAGAGTCATTCCCTGGCTTCCTTCAACTCTTTCCTAAATGGCCAAGTCTCAGTGCATGTCCTCTTGGCTACTTTTGGTAACAGCAGCTCCCACCCTGCCCCTTTCTGTGGCCCTGCATGTCGCCTGTTATTTGCTCCAGTGTGTCGTGTCCTCCTCACCCATTCCATCACTGCAGGGTGAGTCCCAAGTCAGGAGCTGGGTCCCCTGGCATAGCACGAGCCCGCACATCAAAGACAAGAATCTGCCGGTGGAGTGAACACCCAGGCAAGCGCTGGCTCAAGTGAGCAGGAGCTGGATGTGCAAAGGACCTGGGTAAGAAAGTAGGTTTGGAAATCAAAGTGTTGTGTTGGAGGGAACAAGGGAAGCCGTCTTGTGGTTCCCGGCAAGAGAATGACATGGTGCCGCTGGCTGTGTGTGAACTCACCTGCCTGGAGGACAGGGGAGGAGGCTGGGGCTATGCAAACCAGTGAGAGTGGCCACTGAGTGGACAGGCCATGCCCACGGGGTCCACTGGAAAGCTCCAGGGTCACCCTAGGTTTGGGGCCTGAGTAACAGGTCCTGCCTTTATGCATTGGCGCCCCTGGAGTAGGAATGGGAGAGAAATTGCCCAGTGGATGGGTTGGAGTAGCGGACTGATGAGGTAGATTAGGCTCGCCTCCATGTGGGGCCCGGGGCTCTGGGAAAGGTTGGGACTGCACACAGGACGCACCCCTAGAAATGCGAACCGGCTTCCCTCTGTGCACACACACCCTGGGCCGGGATGCCCAGAGGCGGCGGGGGATCTGGGCACTAGGTCTGCATCCTTCCCCTGTGTAGGCCACAGGCGCCCCAGATGCTGGAAGGCAGGCAGCTAGGATGCAGGCAGCCCCTGGGGTTGGGGAGCCACGGGGGGCAGCACCGCGTCGCAACGCATGTGCCCAGGCCCGGGCCCAGGAGTGACACCCCCTCCCCTGTGGCTGCACCCCTCGGCCCCTCAGCCAAGGCCCTCCCCGGTGTGGGCCCCGACCCCGTCCAACCCACACTCCACGTTTTGCCGGAGACCAAGATGTGAGCCTGGAGGCCTGGCCCGGGGCGCCACCTGCGTGAGCGCGGGGGCGGATGGTGACGTCAACGCCGCGAGCGAGGCTGCGCGAGCCGAGGTGACGTAAGCGCAGCCCCGGGCCGCCCGCGCACGCGTCCGTGCGTCAGCGGCGCGCGGGGGCGGAGGGCGGACGAGGCTTCGGTGCGTGTATCTCCGGTCGCCGAGTGCCCTCTGCCGGCGCCGTCGAGTATTGCATCCGAGCCGCGCCTGCGGCGCCCGGCACTTGTCGGCGCTAGATAGGCCCAGGATGCCCTTCCCAGCACGTCTGCGTCCGACAGTCGCAGCCCACCCCAATCTGGCCCCCAGGGCTGCTTTTCTTTGCTCCTTTGAGTACTTCGTAGCTTCCAACGTGCCATATGGTTTGCGTATAAGTCACACTGATGTTTGTTAAACGTCCCCACCGCCCCAAACCAAAGCCGGAATCTTGGTATTCCTCTTGATGGCTCTAGCGCCTGGCATCCAAGGAGCGCCCCCCAAATCTTGAATTCAAGTAATCCCTGCTCCGCGGAGGCTTTTGGCACATATCCCATCTTACCCCGCGGCTGGCCTCTGGAACTGGAAGGAAACTACAAGCCCCAGCATGCCGCGCGCGGGGCGCAATGCAACGTCCATGTGCGCGGCTCGCTGGGAATCGTAGTGCGCGCGTGCGCCTTTGCCAGGACTCTTCTTCCCAGAGGTCCCCGCGCGTCGTCCTCCTCGTCCTCCAGCTTCCAGCGTTCGGCTGGAGTCCCCTGGCAGCCGTCGCCATGCTACCCGCCGCGCTGCTCCGCCGTCCGGGCCTGCGTTCCCTCACACGCCAGGCCCGCGCCTACGCCGAGGCCACCGCTGCTCCGGCCCCGGCTGCGGGCCCGGGACAGATGTCCTTCACCTTCGCCTCACCGACGCAGGTTCGGAGGCCGGTCTGGCTCGGGACCCCGCTTGGTCGCCGTCTCCGATCCGGACCCGTAGTGGTCCGCAGTCGGAGACCCCCGCCTTTGGGGTGTCGATCCCCATCTGTCCCGCTCCCTGGGTCCCTCCCCGGTGTCGTCCAGAATCCGGGCTCCGCAGCCTCCGGGTGTCCGAGGCCCCCAACCCCTTATGGGATCCCGGACCCGCGCTCCTTCCGTCTCATTTGGTCTGGCTTCCGAGCCCCCCACCTCGGTCGCCCCCCGCACTCCTTCCCGAGCCCTACGCTCTTCCCTGTGGTGTGGAATCCGAGTCCTGTACAGTTTCCTCTGGAAGCCAACGTCCACGGACTCGACCTCCCCGCCCCCCGCCGCCCCCTCCGCATGTCCCACAGCGTCGGACACTCGTTCTCTTGGGTGCCCGCCCGGGTTGGTGCGCCCTTTGTGCTCCTGCAGCGTTTCTGTGTGGTCGGGCCCTGCGCTAGAGGCCGGCAGGGGGAGGCTGCGGGGGCCAAAGCCCCTGTCTCGCGCGGGGGGCGTCTTTGTGTCCGCCGTCAGTGTTCCTTCCTGCCTTTGGCCCTTTTCCTGCAGGGGAGCCGGTCCCAGCGCCGGAAGACTGGCCTGCAGTGACGCGCCCCGTGTCTTTCTAGGTGTTTTTCAACGGTGCCAACGTCCGGCAAGTGGATGTCCCCACACAGACAGGAGCCTTTGGCATCCTTGCGGCCCACGTGCCCACCCTGCAGGTCCTGCGGCCGGGGCTGGTGGTTGTCCATGCTGAGGATGGCACCACCTCCAAATACTTTGGTGAGTGGTGGGAAGGGGCTGCCTAGGGGCCGCGTACTTCCTCAGGCCGGATCCAGTGTCTGGGCACGGTTTTGGGAAAAGTAAAAGGCACAGAGTGGGCTTGGGGTTAAGGAGCTTGTAGGGAGGCGGGGCGGGGGACAGGGGTCTGACAGAGAAGTCAAGCCCCGTGCCAGAGGGGCCCTTAGGAGGTGCAGGCCCTTGCATCCCAAGACGTGCCTCCACTAGCACAGCTGCGAGGCGCAGCAGGGTTCGAACCCGGCTCCCGCCTCCGTCCTCATGCTGGCTTAGCTGATGGGCTGGTGGGTGTCCCCTGCGTGCAGCCTCCAGTGGATGCCCCTGAGCCCCATGTGTGTGTGTCACTTTCTCCGGCTGCCTGTTTTCCATGCTAGACTCTAGGGCTACAGCGTGGAGCCACTTTCCTGGTTTGGGGGTGATCGTGTCACCTGCAGGTGGGTGTGGAGGTCTCATGCCTTCCTCTTCCTGTAGTGAGCAGTGGCTCCGTCACAGTGAACGCTGATTCCTCCGTGCAGTTGCTGGCTGAAGAGGCCGTGACGCTGGACATGCTCGACGTGGGGGTGAGTGTCCCAAGGGAGGCGGATGCACCGGGGAGGCCGGGGCTGTGCTAGAGATGGCTTCGGGGAAGGGAACTCGAGTTTGGTGGAGGGGCCGGCACCAGGCTGGGGTCGCCGCTTGGCTCTCACCCATTCCCCGCTTCCTGCAGGCAGCCAAGGTGAACTTGGAGAAGGCACAGTCGGAGCTGTCCGGGGCCGCGGACGAGGCCTCCAGGGCTGAGATCCAGATCCGCATCGAGGCCAACGAGGCCCTGGTGAAGGCTCTCGAGTAGGCGGTGCGTGGCCCTGGCCAGCAGCGAAACCGAGGCCCGGAACTGGGCAGGGGGTGTCCCGGGCAGGCTGAGCCGGCTGGCAGGGGGCCGGTCTGACGGTGGGGGGGTGCGTTGGGGAGGAAGAGCTGCGAGCCGCCTGCGGGGCTTCTCCTGTGGCCAGAGCTGTCTCGCCAGAGAAGGCCGCCAGGGGGCAGCACGGCGCTAGCTTCCCACCGAGAGCCCGCCGGGATCCTGCCGCCTCGCCAGGGCGGGCAGGCCTGGTGGCTGGGGGTGAGCCCAGAGACCTGCTCTGCTGTTTGAGGAGGGGCTGTGTCCCCCCCCCCACCTGCCAGCCCCCCTCCCCAACCTCATGTGTCACCCACCATCCCCCTGAGCCTGTAGCCCCTGCCATGGAGACCCGCTCCCAGTTGCCTCCAAGGGATGGCCTGCCCCCAGCTCGAGCCCCCCCATTAAAAGCCAGGGACCCGACTCGTGTACGCTGCTTCTGTGTGCTGCCTGGAACTCTGTCTTCAGGACCTTCCCTGGCCTTTGTCCCAGCCGTGTGTGTCTCTGCACGGGGATCAGGTGTTGAACACCAGCCTCAGGCTCCAGGGCTTAGAAGCTGGGGCCGAAAGGACCTCTGGGGTCTGTAGTAAACTGGGGAGTGGGGTGTGCAGGGGACATGGCCTGTAAAACCAGGGTAGGTGGTGGGCAGGGTGCCATCAGCCCAGGAGGGTGGGGATTGGCACAGGCTGCTGGCCAGGCGTGGGGAGACGGCAGGCAGGGGCGTGGCTGCTGCTCCAGGGCCAGGCCTGGGCTGCTGGACAGCCACCTGGGGCTCTGCCAAGTTTCAGGATATGCCGTCTGCCCTGTGGGCTCCCTGGCCCGCCCCAGCCACGCTGGGAAGAGGCGGGTCCTGCCTGCTCCCACAGAGGCCCAGCCCTCTGCTCACCCGGCCTGTGGGTGGCCTGGCTGGCCAAGCGCCTCGTCCCTGGTGGTGTTGGCACCTCTGTGCCATCCAGGCCCCTGGGCTGGCCCCAGATGGGGTGGGGCTGCCGGGCGGGGGCAGCCCTGGCTCTGTGCAGCTTGTGTGCTGTTCCATTTCTTCTCGGTTGCAAGCATGGGGGTGGCCCAGAAGCTGGCTCCAGGTGGCCCGGCAGGAGACTTTGGGGGAGGGGTCTCCTCACCCCCCTGCCTGAGCCCTGGGCCTGAGCAGGGCTGACAGGGGATTCCAGGGTGGTGAGTGTGTGGGAGAGCCTGGGCCTTCCCGTGTGTCACTGGCAGTCTGGAGGTGACAGGGAGGCCTCCCCCAACCCCCGGGCATGTTGTCAGCAAAGATGGGCTGTGGATTTGTGTGTCACGGTCCCGTGCGAGTGACTGTCCCCTGGCTTCATTGGTGCTCCGTGTCGCGGGAGCCTTGCTTATGGTGGCTTCTTAGTGAGCTCACAGCTATGGGGTCTCTCTCCCTCGGTCCCCCTACTCAGGTTGGTAGGCCAAGCAGCTGACTCTCCCCAGGCCAAAGAGTGTTGTGACAGCCATGGGCTCACAGGAGCAGGCCCACTCCTCCCTGTTCTGGGTTTTGGAGTTCATGGTCACGCTTTGGGAACTATAAATAACACCACGGACAGGTAAGGCAGTATGACCACAGCACTTTGAGCCAAGCTGCTGGACGGGCACCCAAACCAGCGGTCCTTCTAGCCGTACTCCTGTTCCTGAGAGGGTTCAGCCTCTGGCCAGGGACAGCTCTGAACATAGGTAAGTTTCCTCGGCACAGAGCAGGCCTCCTGCGGGAGATGGGAGCCTTGGGGTGTTAGGGATGCCCACACCTGATGCGGGTCTGCAGGGACAGCCTAAGTTGCCCAGAGCCTTGTCCTGGGCTGGAGACACCCAGGGTGGAGTGGGTCATACGACCAGGAACCGGAGGTCACCACCCTTCCCTCGAGAGCAGGCTCACACAAGGGCTTGTCCTTCTTTGAGGAAGGGGGTCCCCTTGGACTGCGTGTGTGCCCACACCCAGGGGCTGACTAGAGCACGGGATCCTTTAAATGGGAAAAAAAAGCAGGAAGTGGGTTGACTTGGTGTGTTTCTTAAGTTGGACCTGTAGAGTCAGGCTGGGCCCGTGGTCCCTTCCTGAGCGCACTGTCCCCCTCCTAAATGTGCATGGACCCTCAGGGCCCCAGTTCCGGGAGGACCAGCTGCTCCCCTGGTGACCTAAAGGGCAAGGTCTCACCCCCTCCGCAGATCACACAGCCCAGTCTGCCGTGGCCGTAAGTCCCTGACCCAGCGCCAAATGCTTGGCTTCAGGGCACACCGCTCCCTCTGCCACCCCCTGTTCCTCCAGCAGCGGGGCCCTCAGCGGTGGCCCCATGGCCTCCTCTCCAGGCTCCAGCACTTCCTCCATCCCAGCCCCCAGTGGCCCCCTCCCAAAGGTCTCCTGACCCTGTGGGGCTGGGAGCCTCTGGGTGTGGAGGTGATGGTGAGGATGGGAGGGGGCAGGTCGAAGGCTGCAGGAGCTTTGGGTGGGAGCAGGATGGAGACCTGGAAAGGAACACAGCCCTGGGAGGGGTGCCCATGACTAGGGTGGGGTGGAGGTGGTCAGGCCAGATACAGTGAGAAACCAGATAAATGGACAAGGGGCAGGGGAGCAGGAAGACTGAGCACCCCACACCACTCAGGGTCGTCCTCAGTTGCCGACCCAGAGCACATGCTGGGAGAACAAGGACTGGCCGCATTTCCACCTGCTGCTGTTTGCTGTCAGTTAACTGGTCTGTGAAATGGGTGGGGTGATCCGGCCCACCCCGGGACCCCAGAATGAGCTGAGCTGGATTCTCCCCAGACGTCTACCGCGTGGAGAACTGCGGAAACAGGCTCGGAAAGGTCACAGCGCGGTGGGTGGTGACTAGCTGCACTAGGCTGGCCTGGCGCAGGTTAATCGCTCCGTAAATGCCTTCTGAGGTCACCGTTAAGGGATGCAGGAGGCCAGGCTGCTGGGGCAGCTGGCTGGGGCACCCCCACAACAGGCAGGTGACTCCAGCCTGTTTTCCTGGACCGTGGCCGCTGACTCAGACACCCCCCCCGCTTGCGCTCCCCCACGCGGGCGCCCCCAGGCGGAAGCACCGGGCCTAGAGCGGCAGGAAAGGGGGCGGGGCGGGAGCCAACCTGTGCACCCCGAAACCCCGTCCTGGGGATCCGACCCGTCGGCGCTGCCGTTCGTGACCTTGGGTTCAGCAGCATTTATGGAGCGACCCCCAATATACGAGGCGAGGCTTCGGGGTGGGTGGCCCAGAACCTAAGGCGCCCCAGGGCCCCGGCCTGCAGGCAGGGGCGGGGGCCAGCCTGCGTCACCGGCCGCCCGGCCCTCCGCCCCCTGCCCGCCCAAACTCCACCCCGAGGGAAGGCGGTGCGGATAAAGGCTTGGGGGCCGCCCGCTCGGCCCCAGACCTGCCCCGCCACCGCGCTCTGTCCCCGGACGTGGGTACACTCGGGACTGTTGAGACCTCGGACCGGCCGCGTCCGGTGAGTGCGGGTGGGATCTCGCCGGACTAGTAGGAGGGCCCCACTCTAGGCTCTTAAAGGTGCCCCACTTTTCTTTGTTTTCGGGGCAGGCAGGGCTCGGGGTGTCTCCAGCCCTGGCGAGCCCCTCGGGTCGTGGGATGGGAGGGGCTCGGCGCAAGCAGCACCGCCCAGGCAAGACCTCAGCCCCCGCCCCGCCTACCGGGCACTCTTCCTACCCTGCGAGTGACCTTGAGCAAGTTGCTGTTCAGCCTCAGTTTCTCCAGTTGTGCGGCCTGGCCTCCCGCCTTAGAGGCTCCAGACCCCTAGCGGAGGTTCCCACCTCGCCTGCAGTCCCGTAGGCCTCTCTCCCGCCCCGGGGCAGCTGCTTCGCCCCCTCCCCAGGACTTCAGGTAGCGCTCCCGGACGGGGCCGGCAGGGGGCGCGCTGGCGCTGCTGACTCACCGCAGCCCCAAGCGGCGCGCGCGGGCGCAGCCGGGGACGCCGCGTCACGTCACGGCTCGGGCGGGCGCAACTAGGGAAGCGGGCCGGGCCCGCGGGACAGGGGTGGGACGCGAGGTGGTATCGGCGCGGGAAGGTGCGAGAGGGGGAGGGCCCTCCCGGCACCGGCCCACGTCACCGCGGTGCAGGCCCCGCCCGCAGCCCCGCTCCTCGCCGGGACCTCACGCCCCACGGGTGGGGGACGCCCGGCGGCCGAACCTCCTGAGAGCCGTCCGGGCTCGAAGCGCAGGGATCGCCTCCCGCTTCCGCTCGCGGCGGCTTCCCGGACAGACGCGGGGGGAGGTACCCCGGCTTCCTGCCCCTCCCGGCGCAGGGATAGTGCCCGCCCCCACGCCGCGCCGTCCGGGACCGGGACCCCGTGCCGCCGCTCCCCCACTCAACCCGATCCCCCTCGGGCCGCCTGCCCTTTGTTGAGGGCCGTATGAATGGCCCCCGGCGCGGGCGGGTGGAGCGCGGGGGCGGGCCGGAGCGGCGCCAGCCCCGCCCCCGCCGAGCACCCCTTGGCCGCCGGGCCGGGGGCGGGGCGATGGGCGGGCCCGCGCGGCCACGTGGGGCAGCGCCACTGCGCTTCTCATTGGCCCGCCCGCGCGGCCGACTGGGCGTTCGGCGCGCGGCGATTGGCCGACTCACGGCCGGCGGAGTAAGTAGTGAATGGGAGGGGGCGGCAGTCCCGCCCCTCGGAACGTTGATACATTATAACTTTTTTTTCTTGTTACTTTCACCCCCAGATCTTTCAAGCGGCGGCGGCGGCGGCGGCGGCGGCGGCAGGGACGGCTGTTGCTAAGGGAGGGGACGCGCGGGGAAGCGCGGCCCGAGCGGCGGCCGGCACCGAACGCGACCGCCTAAGCGGCGCCCCTTCTTCGGGACCCTCCCCCACGCCCAGCGTCCTTGAAAGGAGCCGCGAGTGCAGTCCCCACCCCCGGAAGGCGCCCCGACGAGCCAGAGCGACCCCGGAGCGCCGCTCGGATTTTTGATTCTTGATTCACCTTCCGCTCCTGGGACTTTCTCGAAGGGTTCCTGCGCTTCCCCTAGGAACGGCGAGGACCCCCGGTTCGGGGAGCCCAACACCCCGCACTGCCCGGAGGCGCGACGAGGATTGGCGGCGCCCCGTGGACCCCAGCCCTCCAGCGCGGGCCGGGGATGGAGCCGCAGCCCGGCGGCGCCCGGAGCTGCCGGCGCGGGGCCCCCGGCGGCGCCTGCGAGCTAGGCCCGGCGGCCGAGGCGGCGCCCATGAGTCTAGCGATCCATAGCACAACGGGCACCCGCTATGAGCTGTCGGTGCCCCCGGACGAAACGGTGGAGGGGCTGCGCAAGCGGCTGTCCCAGCGGCTCAAAGTGCCCAAGGAGCGCCTGGCGCTGCTCCACAAAGACACGTAGGTACCGCGCGCCGCCCTCGGACCCGCCGCCCCCTCGGGCCCCGGCCCCCGGGCGGGAACAAAGAGCGCGCCGCACGGGAAAGGAAGGGGGCGGCCAGACGGGGGGCGGGGGCGCGCCGCGCGCTCTCGGGCGCCCTCTGCTCGGCCTTGCCTGCCTCGGCCCCCTCCCCCGCCCGGGGTCGCTGCACAAAGGCTGCTGCGAGGGCGTCCCCCTCCCTCCTGGGAAGGCAGGAGTCCCGGGTCAGCGTGGGGGTCTCGGCAGCGGGGTTGGGGGGGGCGCGGCCGCCTCCTCCTCTGCCTGCTTTCCCGCTGGCTTCCGCATCTGCTCGGTGCCCCCCCACGTCTGGCTGTTTTCTTCCCCTACTTGCGTCTTTCTACCCCCCTTTGTTCTAACCACCGAGCACTCCCGCAGTCTCCCCCTCCCCCCGGTATTTAAATCGCCTCCAGGCCGGGGAGCACTCCCCCCCCGCGGGCCTCCAGGGACACACAGTGTCCATCCCCAGCGGAGGGGCCCCAGTGGGGGAGGGGCGGGTGGGGGAGGGTCTCCTTTGTCTGAGCCGCCGCGGCCTGCGCCGGGCGCCGGGGAGGGAGGGAGGAGGGAGAGCCCGGCACTGCAAAAGACCCTAAAGGCTAAGGTCTGTGGCTCCCACAGAGAGAAGCTCGGGGCCGGAGTTACAGGCAGGGGCCGGCCGTGGGGTGAGGGGCGGGTGGCAGAGGACCGCAAGGGTGCACTGGCGCCTGTCGATGAAAAAGTGCTTTGTTGAGGTGCTGAGGTGGTGCCCCAGCCCAGAGTGGGGCTTCTTCCCCGAGGAGGTTTGAGCCACTTGCATGGGGGCCTTCGGGGCCAGATACTTGACACTCCCCCTACATACACACACATACCATCCCTCTGGTTGGGGAGCTGGGAAGGGATAGGGGTGGGTAGGGCTCCCATATCTCCCCCAGGAACACAGCCCTCCCCGCTGGCCTGTGCTTCCGCCTCACCGCCGTGTCTCCTTGGCCTCACCCTCTTCCTTCCTTCCTCCCCCCAGCCGGCTCAGTTCGGGGAAGCTGCAGGAGTTCGGCGTGGGGGATGGCAGCAAGCTGACGCTGGTGCCCACCGTGGAGGCGGGCCTCATGGTAAATGGCTGGGGCACAGTGCCCCAGAGGCTCTGGCGCAGGCGGGCAGCCCCTTCCCCTGAGAGCTTGGTTACCAGCACACACCCTGCCAGGGCGGCCCCCGCCGGCGAGCAGCTCCCCCGCCCTGGTGCCCGGGCCCTCTTGCAGCGGAGCGCCCGCTCAGAGCGCCTTCTCCTCTGTTTCAGTCCCAGGCCTCGAGGCCAGAGCAGTCTGTGATGCAGGCCCTGGAGAGCCTGACCGAGACACAGGTAAGACCGGCGCCGGTCCCTCCGAGACCAGAGGGAGGGCCTGGGAGTGGGGGTGGTTGTGCTCCCAGGAGACCCGTGGGGAGGGAGGGGACGCACCGCCCAGCCTTCCTGCCAGTTTGGGCTGGTCACCCAGCTTCCTCTTCCTCCGCCCCCTCCGCACTCACCACCTGACCTTGAGGGCCTTCTCTCCCACGGTGGCTGCCATGGGGGAGGGGGCTGGGCTTTCACCAGCCTGCCTGCCGGGGTGACCTTGGGCCTGGGGCCCCAGCCCTATACTGAGGAGTACTCCCTCCACAGCCACTGCGGTTTCCCCAGGGCGACCTTTTTTTTTTTTTTTTTTTTTTTAAACATTTCTGTGGGTGGGTGGGAGGAGGACTGGAGGGGCCAGCCTGGGTGACACTCCTTCCGGCTTCTTTGACCCCATTGTAAGGGGTGACTCCCTCCCCTTCTCCCTTTGCCCTTTGTTCTCTGCCCCAAAAGGGGGAGGGGGGCTCCCACCCCAGGGCCTTAGCCTAGACAGGATGTTAGGAAAATATTTAGCAACTGGCCAGGAGCTGAGGAGGAAGGCAGGGACTGGCCCACGGCTGGGTTCCCGGTTTTGTTGCAGCATTTATTTATTTATTTATTTATTATTTTTTTTTTACCTCTTCCTTTCCTCATTTTTCTGGCGGCAGGGCCCTCCTCCCAGGAGGGTGACACAGGCTTCAGCTATCCGCCTGCTGCCAGGGTGGGGGAAGCAGGCTGCTGCCCGCCCCGCTAGGGGGTGGGCTGGGCTGGCCGCAGGAAACCTGCTCAGCGGCTTCCCTTCCTCCTGCCCAGAGGCCCTCGCCCCCTCCCCGACATGTAGCATCCTGTCCTCACCAGCTAGGTAGTGAGGAGGAAGAGGGGCGCTGGTGCTGGGTGGTCTGCCATCAGGAGGGCCGGTGGGCTGCAGGCAGAGCTGGGATCCCAGAAGCCGGGTGGGGGCCGCACTGGATTTCCTGGTGAAGATGGGAACTGAGCTCTGGCTCGCAGGGGGGCCTGCGGTTGGCAGGGGGGCCGGGGTGTCTTTGGTTCACATCCGCCCCACAGTGCCTGCGTCGGGGGGGGGGGCGCTGGGCGGAGTGACTGGCTCCCAGGGCTGTTTCCCCGCCTGGCACCGAGTCATGCCCGCCTGTTTGCCGTCCCCAGGGAGGAAGTTGCAGGGTGGGGGGGGGGACTCCCCAGCTGCTCTTGGGGAGCCACCCCAAGCCTTTCCTGCAAGGGGAGCTTCTGGACCCGGGGGGGGGGTACCCTGCAGACCAGGCTTCAGGGTTTGGGGGAGCTGCACACTGCCCGCCTTCCTCGCCGCCTCCCTGTGGCCCCCAAGCAGAGAAGGTTACGCCAGCCGCTGCCAGCGGAGGGCTGGGAGGCGGTGGTTCTGAGTCATCCCGGCCTATGTCACTTCTCAGAAACCTCCACCCTCCCCACCATCCTCGCCCCTGGGGAAAGCTCAGCACTGGCCAGGCTCCAGAGGAGGGACCCAGTCTGCACTGGGTGTCGGATGCACCCCCTGCCGCCGCCACCCACCAGATCTGAGGGTTTGTGTTGGGGCTGCATAGAGGTCTCGTGGGACCCAGGCCTCAGAACCATCAGGGCCCCCTCCAGCAGCGAAGCCTCCCCCTCAGCCTCAGCCCCACCCAGGACAGATAAATATTTATCTTGAGAAAGCAAAGGTTAGGAAGAAGAATTTGTCCAGGAATTCCCGCCCACTTGCTGCCTGGGTGGCTTAACTGGGAGGGGGTCTGTGATTGACTCCCCTCTGGTATTCACAGGCAGAGGATGGGGAGCTGGGAGGGTGGGGTTATTTGAGGGCAGCGACTGCTGACTGGGTCTTGCCCCCCTCTGGCCTCAGTTTCCCCTTGAAAGAACCAAGCTGGCCAGGGAGGGCCAGGCCCCCCCCATCTGACCCGCCTCTGTCCCCCACAGCCCCCAGTGGCGCCCGGGCCGGGCCGGGCTGGCGGAAGCGTCTTCCGGAAATACCGATTCATTTTATTTAAGCGTCCGTGGCACCGACAGGGACCCCAGAGCCCAGAGAGGGGCGGCGAGAGGCCCCAGGTCACGCAGCGTGGGGCGCCGGGGCTGGGCCGGGCTGGGGGCGCAATAGGCTGGGGCCCTGGCGCTGACGGGCCCCTCTCTACAGGTCAGTGACTTCCTGTCGGGCCGCTCGCCGCTGACCCTGGCGCTGCGCGTGGGGGACCACATGATGTTCGTGCAGCTGCAGCTGGCCGCCCAGCACGCCCCGCTCCAGCACCGCCACGTGCTGGCCGCCGCCGCCGCTGCCGCCGCCGCTGCCCGCGGGGACCCCGGCATGGCCGCCCCCGTGTCCCCCTGCCGGCCCATGGCCGGCGCTGCCCGAGTCCCCCCGATGGCCAGCAGCCCTGCCCCCACGTCCCCCTCGCCTGTCACCGCCGGCTCCTTCCGATCCCACTCCGCTTCCGCCGCCTGCCCTGAGGTGAGTCTGGGGAAGGTGGGCTGTCCCCCGCCTCACGGAGGGTGGGGGCTCAGAGCCCCAGGTCTGCAGCTTCCAGGGACTGTCCTTGCTCCCCCCCCCCCCCCCACCCCCCCCCCCCCCGCTGACCTGCCCTCCTCTCCCTGGCATCCTGCAGATGGACTGTTCGCCCCCTGCCAGTGCTGGCGCTAGCCCCACTTCCACCCCCGGGGGGAGCCCTACCTCCCGCTCCCGCAAGCCTGGCGCTGTCATCGAGAGCTTCGTGAACCATGCCCCAGGGGTCTTCTCAGGGACCTTCTCTGGTAGGTGTCGCAGTACCCCTGCACGGATCCCCCGCCACCCAGAGGCAGCAGCTGGGTGGGGGTACGATCTCACCCGTCGCCCCCCAGGGTCTCCTGGCCCGTGCCCCACCATACGGGAGGCTGGGGGCCCCCAGGAGGCGCAGGTCCCCGCGTGCTCACTCCCACCCTGGGGGCCCACCTGTCTGCGCATGCGCTTCAGAGGCCACGTGTCCATCCCGCCCGCACTCACCAGCAGCCCCCCACCTCCTGCAGGCACACTGCACCCCAACTGCCAGGACAGCAGCGGGCGGCCGCGGCGTGACATCGGCACCATCCTGCAGATCCTCAATGACCTTCTGAGTGCCACGCGGCACTACCAGGGCATGCCCCCGTCCCTGACCCAGCTGCGCTGCCACGCGCAGTGCGCGCCCGCCTCACCTGCCCCGGACCTCACCCCCAAAACTACCTCCTGTGAGAAGCTGGCGGCTGCAGCCCCGGCCTCCCTGAGCCAGGCCCGCATGTGCAAGCCCCTGGGTGAGTGTCCAGCGCACCCCGCCCGTCCCTGGGCTGTTCAAGGCCCCTCTGTGCGTGGCTCAGAGCAGCTGACCCGCCGGGGGGCCGGGGGGGGGGTGGCAGCTGCTGCTTGCCCTGCTCCGCAGGAGAGTGGAGAGAACAGAGCATGTGTGTTTGGGGCACAAAGTGTCCTTGTCCTCTCCCGAGGGGGGCACTTCCTTCCCTCCCCCCACCCCCCTGCACTTTGTCCAGATGGCAGGTGGGGCCTCTGTGAATGGCCTGGTCTGATGAAGGGGGGGAGCCATTGCTGCTCCAGGGGTGGCTTGAGTCCCCCAGAGACCCAGCCGGCCCCAGGAAATCCTGAGCCCTGTGGAGCAGTGTCCCTGTTCTGCCTTGGCAGGCCTCCGGCCCAGGTCATGAAGGGGAAACAAAGCCACCAGCCTGAGGGCCATCGTTCCACCTGACCAGTGGGCTGGTGGTGTGCTCCGGCGCCCGCCTTGGCCGGGTCCCGCGGTGGCCGGGGTCTGAGAAGCCTCCAGTCTGAGACACCTCCTGGCGACCGGGAAGGCTGGGTGGTCCCCCATGCCGTGGGGATTGGGGGTTGTCTGGCCTCTCCCCCAAGGGTCACAGGGCTCATGGTCCCTGCCTCCTTGCAGGGGACCGGCTGCGGCAGACAGAAAATCGGGCCACCCGCTGCAAGGTGGAGCGCCTCCAGCTCCTGCTCCAGCAGAAACGGCTCCGCAGGAAGGCCCGGCGGGATGCCCGCGGGCCCTACCACTGGCCGCCAAGCCGCAAGGCTGGCCGCAGCGACACCAGCGGTGGCGGTGGGGGCAGCGGGCCCAGCGAGGCCTCCGGCTTGGGCCTCGACTTCGAGGACTCCGTTTGGAAGCCGGAAGTCAACCCTGACATTAAGTCAGAGTTCGTGGTGGCCTAGGAACCATGTCCCTCGCCCGGCCACCTTGAGCAGAGAGTCCCCTGGGCCAGCCTGTGCGCGGGAGGGCAGGCAGTTGGGGTCAGGGCAGTGGGAGGCCCCTCCCTTCCTACCAGCTTCCTTCTGGTTTTTGGTTTGTTTTTTTGTTTTTGTTTTTGTTTTTTATTTTTTGTGGGTTTTTTTGTTTTTTTGTGTTTTTTTTTTTCAGTATTTGGGTTTTTTTGGGGTTTTTTTTTGTTTGTTTGTTTTAATTTCCCTTCTTAACCATGGTTTTCTGAACTCTCCATGGACTTGGTTCCTGCCTCCTTGGTTCAGCTCACATTTCCCCGCCTCTTCCTCCCGTGGTGGCTCCCGTCCTCGGCCAAGCCGGGCCCTCCCCGCCCACTTCCCAAGCTCCAGAGATGTAGCAGTCACTCCAGATGGCCGAGAGTGGGACGAGACGAGGAAGCCGCCCCCACCCCTTCAGGTTTAAGTCAAAAACATAGATGCCTCATGATGCACTTTACAGACGGGCAGGGCCAAGGAGGGAAGGCCCACTGCAGCTGCACCCTGGCCTTCAGGGTGGCCGGCAGGCCCCACAGCCACCGGAGACCCGCTGCGCTGCCCCTGCGGCCAGGTCTCCTCCACACCTATGCTTTTTTCTCTTGGTCTATTTTTCCAGGAAAAAAGGAGGGGCGCTTCAGTATGCTGACCCCAGCCTGCCTCTGGGGTTCAGGTGGAAGTGTGGGGCCCTCTCCTAATAGGAAAGGGAGGGAGGGGGACAGACCAGCCACCAGCCTTTGCGTCCACGCACTGTGCCATCTCCCCCGGCCCCACCCCCTTTTTGTTCTGAGCTTGGGGTATTTATAGACTATTAATTTTCTGAGCCAATAGTGGTTGGGAGTCTCTTGAAAACTGGGAGAGAAATGGTTGGGGGACGGGGAAATCACCCCCAGCCCTCCTTCCTGGCCCAACCTGAGAGAGATGTGGCCTGTGGGCTGTGTCTGGAGGGCCCCCTGGCAGTCAGGAGGGGAGGGGGTGCTGAGCTGTGAAGCCCCAGTAGGGGTGACGCTGTGTAGCATTAACCCCCTGGGGGGGGGGGGCTTCGCTGCTGGTCTAAATTGGACCCTCCCCACTCGTGCCCTTATCCCCAGATTCCCCTGGGGCAGAGGGACAAGCCCTCTACTGGGGCCATTTCAATGGGGGTGGAGTTTTTTTTCATTCACTTATTTTTTACTGATAATGGAGATGATCAGGCCCTGCCCCCTGCCCAAGTCTGGTCCTTGCCCCGCCTTTCTGTCCTCCAGACAGCCCCACCCCCTGCCTGTTCCTCCTTTCATCCTATTGTAGGTGAACCCCCCCCATTATGTGTTTAAAGTTAATGGTTTCAGATGTGAACATCATGTTTTATTTGTAGCTCTGTAAACTTTTTTGTGGGGGGGGTGGGTAGGGAGGGGTCAGAGGGTAGGGGTCACTGATTTTTGTTTGTTTTCATTTTCCAAAAAAAAAAGAAAAAGGAGAAAAAAGGAGTGGGTTTGTTTTTGAAGAACTGTGTTGGATACCTATTTAAATGTGTTCTGTTTTGTCGGGGGGTTTTTTGTTTTGATTTTTTAAACAATTTTTAAATAACACCTGTGCCTCCACGGGTCTGAGGGTGGAGGCCCCAGGCAGGAACCCAGGCAGCCCGTCCCTCTCTGCCCTCACCAGGGCTCCCCCAAGAAAGCATTACCCACTCTCAGGGGTCGGGCTGTGGGGTGTCCCGGCACCTTGCCTGAGTTTCCTGTATGAAAACAAAATTGGGAAAGATTAAACCTATACAAACACCGTGATTTCAAGTAATAAACAAGATGAAACGAGTGAATGTGCTGCCCGCTTGGGGGGGGGGGGTCTTGGCCATCACAGAGGGCGCTCCCAGGTACGATGGCTGGTCTTAAAGCCTGGGAGGGGCACGGCTGGCGGCTGTTTCCCCTGAAGAGGGGGCCCCGAGAGACCCGACAGGTAGTGGCAGCTGGGGAGTGGGTGGGGCTTGATCCCAGAACGGTTCCCACGTTCCCTCCCCGGCTTGAGGTAAGGGCGGGCAGGAAGTTGCCCCAGCAGGGGAGGGAGGGGCCAGCCACTTCCCGGTACTCAAGGCCGGAAGTCCTGCAGGGTGTGGGCACGGGGCTGCCTGCTAACAGCGCGCCGTGGGTGGGGCCTCCGTTCCCGGCTCTGGGAAGTGGGCTGGGGACTGACCCCTGGGACTCTCACCAGGGCTACCTGACCACGCTCTCTGGGCCTCGATGTCCCCAGCCACTGACGGGGAGCCTGCTTCAAATGCTGGGCCAGGCAGGAGGTGCTGCCTGGGTGGAGGGCTGACCTGAGCCCTCTCCTGGGTACCGGGCCTCCCGGAGCTGTCTAGTGGAAATCAGAGGTTTCCCAGGGCCCGAGGCTTGCGTTCGAGGCCACCGGCCTGGCCGTCACAGCCCTGGGTGAACTCTCACCCCTCTGGCCTCACCCTGGCCTTGCATTCCAGTGCTCCCCAGCCCTGACGGTCATGCCTCAGGCCTTTGTCCGGGCCATGCCCTACGCAGGAACACCCCTCTCCTGGGCGTCCTTGCTCTGCCTGGGGACTTCCTCAACTGGCATTTCCCGAAGGCTGGGTCAGGGGCAAGTCCGCTGGGGTCCCCCTGTCATCCACTTTGGGGCTGGGCAGGGAGAGGACAGTACCAGCATCCTCACCCGTACTTCCTCAGTTCCCGAACCCTGCCAACTAGAAGTTACAACTAATTACAGTCCCATCTAATAGGCGAGAAAACTCCGAGCCCAAGGAGAAACAATCAGTCGCCCTAGAAGATTGGGGTGTTTGTCAAACTGGTGACCACTCACTCCTGGGCAGATTTTGGGTGGCCCAAGCCCTTGCCCTCCCAGCCCCAGGGGTAAGGGACAGAGGTGCTGTCCCAGGAGTGTCCTGGGAACATCTCCAGAAGGCCCTTCTGCCCCTCTCCCTGTCCAGTCACCTCCAAATCATCCCAAGCCCACAGCAGGAAGGTTGGGTGCCACATGTCAGGGTGATCCCTCCAGACCTTAGAGTCAACGGCCACAGGTTGGAGGTGTGGGTGGGACACCTCAGGTGGAAACTTCCGCCCACGCAGCCCCTGAGGGTCAGGGCTGAGGACTGTACCCAGGTGACTCCGCAGGGCTGGGTTGGGGGTGTGGAAGGAGGTGTCAGCTGAGGCGCCCGCTGAATCACCGGCTGCTGCATCACAGGCTATGTGTGCGCGCGGCAGGGCGGGGGGCCTTGCCCTGCTGCCCAGGAACCCACCCCTCAGGGCGCTACCTGGAGCCCAGCTCGGGAGTCCAAAGTTCGCGGCCCTGCCCTGGGGTCGTAGGGGGACTACACCCCGGTAGGGGTTGCGGGCCCTTGGCCTCCTTCCCCCTGGAAGGGCGCGTAGAGCACACAACTCGCCGGGGGGAGGTGCCGGGCCAAAGGGAGCTGCGGCCAGAGGAGCTGCAGGCTAGGCCACTCGAAAGTAAGGTAAACTGAGGCCCAGCAACGGCTGGGGCTGCGGAGATCGCAGGGGGCGGTGTCTGCCCTGCGCCACCCCCTCCTCCCATTGAGGAAAAAGCTGAATGGGAGGGGGTGGCCCCCGGAAACCCGCAGGAATGGAATCGCGGTTTCCACGGCAACGCGCCACGAATCGGGCCTGACGTCATCGCGGGGAGGGCGCCCCGGTCGCCCCCGTCCGCGCGTCGGGGAGGGAGGCTCGGGTCCCGCCCACTCATCCCGGGGGACGCCTCACTGGTGGCCCCGCCGTTCGTTCTTCCGCGCGCACCAATGGCAGCGTGGCGTCCGCGCCGGAGGGTGGGACCGCGCCCGGGCCAGCAGAGTGCGCAAGCGCGGCGCGGAGGCGGTGGGGGGGGGGGCTCCCTGCGGTCGCGCGTCTGCAAACTTGGGGGCGGGAGGCGCGCCGAGGGTCTGACGGCTCCGCAGCGCTCGGACGGAAGAGGGGGCGTAGCGGAGGGCGCCGCACGTGGACCCCAGCACCGGCGCGCTCGCTCGCACCCCTCCTTCCACGTCCCGGCATTGTGTGCTGCCCCCTCCTCGGCTCGGCGGCGCGACCTCCGGATTGGGGGAGCACGCGGCCCCCGGGCGGGGGGGAGTGCCCCCGACCTGAGGCTTTGCCAAAGGAATAGGAGTTTGCCAAGCGCTGGAAGAGGGAAGGGGTGCCCCTAGGTGGGAGACAGCGTGTGCCACGACCCGGAGACGCGCAGGCAGGTGTATTGGTAACAGCTGCGAAGTGAGCTGGGGGAGAGGAAACAAACGGCGGGAGGAAAACGCCGAGGCGAGGACCCGAAGGGGGTGATTCCCCAAATCTGTGGCTGGGGATTGAGACGGTCCCCCGGGGAGGAGGGCCCAGAACATCCAGGTGGCTGGACGGCCGGGCCCGGGCCCGAGGAGCGCCGGGTGAAGCGCTGTCCGAAGGCGGCAGAGGTGGTCCGCAAGGGGCCGCGGGAGGCTAGCGGGAGCACGTTTTGCTGTGATCAGGAGTCCCCTCGGAGAAGGTAGCGGTCGGTGGGAGCAGGAACAGGCCCCGCCTGGTGGGGAACTTCGGGTCCAAGGGTAGCCCCCCGCTGGGCAGGCGCAAGACTCAGTCGCGGGTCTGGCGGCCGTGTGCACTGGTGTGGCTGCCAAGCTGTGGAGTCTGGACTGGAGGCTTGGGTCCCGGTGGACAGTGCTCCTGGTTGATGCAACCGCTGTGGGCAAGCAGGAGAAGGTCACTGGGGTCACTGATTTCTGCTCCAGGCCAGAGTCCCCTGGGGGTGGCCAAATGGATAATTGGGGTTGGCTCCACGGTTTTGAAATGCCAAAGGCCGGGGTCAGGGCCTGGCTTGGGGAGGAGCCCGCCTCTGGCAAGGAGCCATGTGGGGGACAGGAGTGAGCGATATCCCGTCCGGGCCAGCTGCCGCAGCCCCAGCACCAGGCAGGTGCCCTGGCACAGCCGCCCCCACCAGGCCCAGTGGGACCTGCCTGCCTCTCTAGGCGCCTGGGGAATGGGAGTTACCAAGCCACAGCCAAGGGTGCTGGGGCCTAACCCAGGAGTCTTGACTCCAGCCCCACCCACGGCTGCCCAGCCCTGGGAGGGCAGGGGACAGGCAGCTTCTGGTGTGACCCAGTGTGGGGGCAGGGCTGCTGTCACCTGGGGCCCTGCCCCTGTGACGGCCCTCCCTCCGGGTCCCTGTGCCTGGCTTGCCGCCTCTCCTTCTCCCCTCTAGTTCTGCCCCCTATCTACTTCCTTTGCTGACTCTCCTTCGGGCGGCGGGTTGTCCTCTCCTCTGTTGGCCTTCCTCAGTGTCTCCGTCTGTATCTGGGTCCCTGTCCCACCGACTCCTCCCCCACTTCCGCCCCCTCTCCGGAGGGGGGAGCCCTCCATCACCCCCGGCACACATTCCAGCCTCCACCCCCGCCTGGCTGCCCCTCCCTGGAGCCAGCTGCTGCTGGAGGGAGTGGGCTAGGGATGGGTCAGAGGTTGGGGTGCCGGCAGGGGCTGTAGGGGGCACCCCCTCCTCCGGAATGTGGGCGGGGCTGCCCGCAGGCTGGGGGGGGTGGGGACAGGGCTCTAGACAGCTGGCTGCGAGCAGACCGCCCGCGCCCCCCCCCCCAGACACTGCCCACGGCCCACCTCCCACACACGCCACCCCCCAACCCGCCCTCTCGCCCACGCTCTGAAGAAGTGCACCCTCCAACAGTTAGGGGCCTGATACCGATTCCCACCTGAGTGCCAGGCTCCTGGCTCTGCAGTACGCAGGCCCGCCCCCACACACACACTGCCCCACTCACACTTTGATGCCACCACAAAGTCCCTCGACGCTATGATTTTCAAAACAGTGCCCCCCCCCCCCCCCCCCCCGTTCTCACCCTGAACCAAGACCTCCCTTAAGAAAACCGCAGAATTGAAAGTCACACCCGGCAGGGCAGGCACTTGGAGCCTCAGAGACTTGTCACCCACAACAGCAGCACCCTCCCAGAACACGGCCCATCGCTCCAGCCACACACTCCGGCCCACCATACGCTCCGTGGCTATAGGCCTGCCAGAGAAGCAGAGAGCTGCTTATCTGGGTTGGGGATAGGTGGGGTGCGTGCCCTCACTCACTCCATCCCTGCTGGGACCTGGAAGAAGGGGCAGGAGCGTCAGACCATTTCCCGTGTGCCTGCGACAGAAGAAAGGGCAGAGAACCCCAAGTGCCTCCTGGGGGGCTCTTGTCCCCATTCAGCCTCACTGACCCCAGGAATCCCTGCTGCTGCACCCACGTCTCAGATGGGCAGCTGAGGCCTGAGAGGGGCCTGGCCACACCAGCCCACCCAGCAGGGCACCCGGCCCTCACTGACCTTCAAGGAAGAGCAAGACAGCCGTGGGACACCAGCACTTGTGTGGCGGATGCTTGGGGCAGCCCAGGCCACACGGACACAACTGTCTTCCCTGAGCCCCTGGCAACTGCCACAGGAGGGGGCCACTCTGTCTCCCTCCGGCCACTCCAGTGTTGCCGTGGAGCCACAAGCCCCGGGAAGGGGTCCTTCTGCCCCTCCTTGTGCCCACAGGGAGGCTGTGTGTGGGTGCCATCTTGAGTGTGGGGCCAAGGTCAAGTGAGTGGATAGGACACTTGTGGGGGACAGCTCCTCCTACCTGCCAGGGGTGGGGAGGTGTGAACCTCAGCCCCTCCCCAGCCTCAAAATCCAGCGGGCTGTGGCCCCGGCCCCCACCAAGGCAAGCCTCAGGGTTTTCGTGAGCACACAGAGGGGGTCTTTGTGCGCAAGGTCTGGCGTTTCTCAGACATCTGGCACATGTTTGATGTACTTGTGTATTTGTCCACCACACACGCGCCTCCGGGACCCTCTGCAGAAAAGACAGGGTCACCGTCTGGGCCTCTGGGGCATCTGGAGTACAAAAAAGAGCAAATGTGCAAACCCGAGGGCCGGGAGTGTGACATCCAGAGGCCTTGCCCTCACACTGGTGGGCTGGCGTGTCTCTGTGGCCCCTCTAGGCCCTACCCCACAGTCTGTGCTCACGGCCACAAACCATCCAGTGCTCGGCCCTTGCAGCTCTGGGGTGGGAGCCAGGGCGGGAGCGGGATGGTGCCAGCCTCCGTGTTCCTGGGCCTTCACTCACAGGGGGCTCCACGGAGTGCCTCTGCCCGTCCCCTGCCCTGCACCTTCTCCACTGCGGAGACCCCTTCCTAGGAACAGGAGGGAAACTGGCGCCAGGGGCAGCCCCTTCTAGCGCTTCAGGGTGGCAAAGAGCCGAGCTTCCTGTGTTCACAGTCAGCAGCCACCTGGGGCCTCAGAGACGGGCGAGGGTCCACACCTCCTCAGGTAGGAGCCAGAGCCCAAGAGTCACGCCTCCAACCACGGGGGTGCCCACCTCTCTGTGAGGCCTGCCCGGGAGTCACACACACGCAGGCCTGTCCGTGACTGGTCCCACGTCCGTGTCCCTTATGCACACGCTCTGGAGTCCATGTACGCCCCCTTGGTGTCTTGCGCATGGAGCACTGTCCACACACTTCCATACCTGGGCACACACAGCCCCACTTTTGCATCCACGCAGGCACGGTGCCCTGCCATCCTGTGTCTGTTTACCCACGACTCCCAGCTCACCGGCACACATGTGCACCACACCTGGCAACGCGCGCACTCATCCAGTCTCCGCTTCCCCCACCCTGGCTCTGGGCCCTGCGGGCCAGCGAGTCTCTGCCAGGACGGTCCCGTTCGTGCGCCCCCGCCGGGAGGCCGCCAGGTGCACTGTCCCGGCCCCCGCCTGGTCGACCGAGAGGGGGCGATAATTACGCGGCCCGAGGGTCGTCCTCCCCCCACCCCCCACGCGCCTTTCATCCCGGCCAACGCCCGTCCGGGACCCAGACGCTCATTACCGCCTCCCGCCAGGTCATTAGCCAGGGTCGGGGGAGGACCCGGCGTCCCGAGGCCCGGCCGGGCGGGAAGGCGGAGGGGCCGCCGCGGGAGCGAGATAGCCCCGCCCTCGTCTCCACGGCGACGACCGCGGGTGGGGAGTCCAGGCGGGGAGCGGCTGGACCGCGGTGGGAGAAGTGGTCCCGGAGGCGGGCGCCCCCTCCGCGGAGGGGCGATTTGTAGACGCGCCGACGGGGACCTCCCGGCCTAATCCCCGTCCCGTCGGGCAGGCGGCGAGCACCACGCGTCCAGGCCGCGAATAGCAGCCTCTCCCCTGCCCGCGGCTATTTTGAGACCCATCCTCCCACCCCCCCTCCGCCATCCACCCCTCCCGGCGCGCTGGCAGAGGCGCGGGGTCAGGCCTTTGGGCGGGACGAGGACCCCGTCCCACGCTGGAGCACGCGGCGGGACCCGGAGCCCCCGGCTGGGGTGACAGCGAGGCCGCAGCGCCGCCTCGCGTCCGTGGGGAGAGCGTGGCGCAGCGGTCGCTACAGCGAGTAAGGTGTGAGAGCCGCCCCCCACCCACGGAAAGGCAGATGCAGGAAACCACAGGGATGCAGGCGGGGACGGAGACAGGCCGCCCACCTGAGACGCCAGCACGCAGTCTCCGCCCAATGCCCAGAGCGGGCAGAGTTGGCCACAGGTGTCCCCAGGCATGGGTCCTTTCTGAGATGGGAACCCAGGACAGTCATGGGTATACATGGAGATGCAGCAACAGGCTCGTAGTAAATGTTTAATAACCGCGCGCTGGTGGAAGGAAGGAATGAATGAACAGAACGCTTCACAAAAGCAGGGCAAGGCAGACTCAGAACCGCGGAGCCTTGGGGGCGGGGCCTAGGCCAGGGAATGATTCGGGGCCACCAAGGCTGCGGGGACACCAGGTCTGGGCTGGAGCCAGGAGCCCTTGACCTGACTTTGCTAGGAGAGCCCACCAAAAAGGGTGGCGGGCAAGTGCTCCCGGGCTGGGCTGACCTGGCCCCAGCCCACCGGCCCCCCCTCCACACCGGCTGGGAGGCGGAGGGAGTGGAGAGCTGGCGTCTCTTTTTGCTCCTTTTAATAACCACCCTGCGTGAGAGGCTGACGCAGCAGCGGGCTGCCTCTGACGGGGAGGGCTGTGGCACGGGGCAGCGACGTGTGTGTGGGGGGTGGCAATGAGTCAGGAGCTTCTCTGCAGGAGGGGGGCTCCTAAATGGGGGAGGGGTCCCAGTGATCTTGTTACAGGAGACCATGTCCTTGCCTGTGTGCCTTACTTGGTCAGCTAGGCCCGCCTGAGGGTGTCAGCAAGTCTGAGGGGGCCTGGAACTTCTCTGTGGTGGGCAACAAAGCGGGGGGTGGGGGGGTCCTCTGTTCCCAAGTACTCCAACTCCTCTGCATGGCGTCTACCCTCTGAAGACTGTCCAGAGCAGGGCGTGGGCAGGAACGGTTCTGCACTAGTTTTTTCCATCCCGTGGAGGCGTCCAGGGCCACCAGAGAGACAACACAAGCCAAAGCCTGCATGGGGGCAAATGGTGGCCACACAGGGACTCCCATAAAGTGGCCTTGGGACTCTCCGAGAGCAATCTTGCAGGTGAGGGTTCCTGCAAAGCTTGTTCTTCTGATAGCAGAGGTCTCGGAACCCCCAGACAGGAGAGGAAGAGAGCATTGCTCACCCCACCACGGATGATGAGTCTGTTCATGTGCAGGCAGGAATCCGGAACGCATGCTGGAGGGGAGCCCAAGGGTTGAGACCAATGTTGGGTGCAGGGCTGGCCCCAGTGATGGGCTGGGTGCCCAGGAGGGGGTCAGCCAGCCCTCCGGAGCTGCAATGCACAGAGGCGTCTGTCTAGGTGAGTGTGGGGGTGTAGGCACAGCACCAAGCAGATGTCAGGATTGGGGTGGAAGGAGGTGTGGGTGCTGGTGGAGGTTTGTAGGCAAAGCAGGTTGCGTGCTATTGGGTCGCCCCAAAATTGCGAAGTAGGAGGAAATGGGAGCTTGGTGAGTATTGGGATCCACACACGTGGGGTTGTCTCAGTCTTGGGGCTTGGGGTGGCGTTGGGGCCCATTCCATGAAGTAGTGGGGTCCCGGGAGTACCAGGGTATCCGGTTATTTGGCGTGGATATCAGAATGATGTCAGGGTTCAGGTGAACTGACAGTTGGGGCTCCGGTGGGGATAGGGACTTGGCCAAGGCTGCATTGGCGGCGACTGCCGAGGCAGAGACCAAGTCTGAGTTCCAGCCACACCAAGAGATGCCCGGGAGGTTTGGGGCCTTGGCCTCCAGAGACCCCTTTGTTCCCGACCACAGATCGGGAGGTGGGGTGGGGGCGGGCATGCGGTTGTGGGTCAGCTCCGCCCCGCCGCGCGCCGGGCCCGCCTCCGGGTCGCGGGCGGGGGACTGCGGGCGAGGCGCGTCCTCGCCAATTATCGCGCCCGGAACCCGCGCGCACGGGAGTGGGGAGGAGCCGGGACAAGTCCAGCCCCTGCCTCATGAATATGAGATGTGGCTGCGCTGCTGAGCCCTCGGATTGGTTGGCGCGGGGCGAGGGGGGGCGGGGACCCGCGGCGGCGTACTTAAGGCCGGGCGCTCGGCGCCCCCCCCTCAGTCGCGCGTTAGGAGGCTTGGCTCGTTGTGCTGCGCCTTGTTCCCGCCTGCGTCAGGGACCTTCCCGACTCAGTGGTGAGGGCCCTGGCTGCACCGACTCCGCGGGCCCGGGGCGGCAAGCGGCCTGCGGCCGGCCGGAGGAGGCGGGACGGCGGCGGCACGCCCCTGGGCGGGGGCGGCGCCGGGGCGGGCCCGGGGTGGAGTCCGCCCCGCCGGCGGCGATGGGCAGTGGGACACCGGGCCAAACTGTGGCCGGAGAGCGTCCTTTCCTCAGGCCCGGCTCTCCGCGAGCGGGACGCCACCGCAAAATGGCGGCCGCGAGCGCGAGGCTGCACCCAGCGAAATGGCGGGAGTGCCGGGTGCCCGGATGGAGTGGCGCAGGGCGTGCGCGGGGCGCATGCGCGCGGCGGTGGGCGGGGCCACGATGCGTGGCCAGGGCCGCCACTCCCGGTTTCCCGTTGGAGTCGCGCGGGGGCAGCGTAGGCCCGGCGCCCTCCCAGTTCCCCGAGCTAGGGTCCGAGAGACGCGGCCTGCCGCGCGTTCTGGCCGGTGTTTTCGGCGCTGCTCGGCGGGGTTTCTCCCAGCCGGGAAAGAGTCGGCCCAAGCGGGCCGCAGCCCCACACGTCAGGCTCCACGTGGGAGGCCCCCGCCCCCCCGCGCCCAGTGCCCAGCCCCCCGGCTCCCGCCCGCACGGGGCCCCACAGTGGACCAAGCACGTTGCCCCTCCCCACCCCATGGTCCTGCTCACGGAGGGGAAGCCCGGGCTGCGCGCAGCCGCTCACGATGGAGGCCGACGCCCCCCTGAGGTGTCCCGCCGTAACCGTCCCTGGGGCCCTCGGCCTGGACAGCCCAGACGGCCGGGGTGCAGCGCCGGCCCGCGGGGATCCCGCAGCCCGGGGGGGCGGGGCGCAGAGCAGGCGCGGGGTCCCCGTGAACCCAACGGTCCCGGCGTGCACCGGAGGCGGGCGCGCAGGGTCGCGGCGTTCATCCCACACGCCACGGGCGTTTGCGCGAAGTGGGCTGGCGGCCCCTGACGCCCCCGGCGGCCCCGGGGTCTCAACCGCGTTTGCCGCAGGCCGCCATGGCATCGGACGAAGGCAAGCTTTTCGTCGGCGGGCTCAGCTTCGACACCAACGAGCAGTCGCTGGAGCAGGTCTTCTCCAAGTACGGGCAGATCTCCGAAGGTGAGGCGGGCGCCGGGGGCCGGGCGGGGCGGCCGGGGAGGGCTGAGTGCAGACCCCGCGTCTCTCCCGGACAGTGGTGGTCGTGAAGGACCGGGAGACCCAGCGGTCGCGAGGGTTTGGCTTTGTCACCTTCGAGAACATCGACGACGCCAAGGACGCCATGATGGCCATGAACGGGAAGGTGAGGGCGGCTGTCCCCAGGGGTGCGGGTCCTGGTGTGCGAGCGGGCCGGGAGGGTGGAGGCTGACCGCGCCGTCTCTGCTTTCAGTCCGTGGACGGGAGGCAGATCCGGGTAGACCAGGCCGGCAAGTCCTCCGACAACCGGTCCCGTGGGTACCGAGGTGGCTCCGCGGGGGGCCGGGGCTTCTTCCGAGGGGGCCGAGGCCGGGGCCGCGGGTTCTCCAGAGGTGAGTGCTGCATGCTCAGGGCCTTGTCCCCGGGAGCCCGGCGGGCCGGTGCTGGTAGGCGGTGGGCTGACCGCTTCCTTGTCCCTGGCTGTAGGAGGAGGTGACCGAGGCTACGGCGGGAGCCGGTTTGAGTCCAGGAGCGGGGGCTACGGAGGCTCCAGAGACTACTACAGCAGGTGGTGGCTGAGGTCCTGCCCCGGGGGTGTTCGAGGCTGCCCTCTGGACGCTGGCGCAGGGCGGGCAGGCGGGTGGCGTGCGTGGCCTGAGGTGTCTTTTTTTCAGCCGGAGTCAAGGCGGCGGCTATGGTGACCGGAGCTCCGGCGGGTCCTACAGAGACAGCTACGACAGTTACGGTAAGTCCTGCTCCGAGGGCACCACGCTGCGGGGCCTGTGGTGGGAGCTCAGTAAGCATTGGCGCCCTGTGCAGGCGACACTCAGACTCTGCCACTGTCCTTGCCCGTAAGGGACACGGCTGCTCTCTGGGTCTCCGTGCCAGCTGCCGTCTCTGCTGCAAAACGTGAAGGCAAAACCAGACTGACTGAGGAGGAAAGGGAGAGCGAGGGCCCCCCCACCCCGAGCGGGCAGCATCTGTGCATGTGCGGCCACCCGGCCCTGCCGCCCTGCCCTCAGCCGTGGGGGGTTGGTGCCTCCCGAGGCTCTAGGGCCGAGCCCTCCAGGTCCGACCCGGGAGTGGAATGCTGCATCTTGTCGCGTGCTTCAGTGCTTTACCCTGTACCTGCTTCTTGTTCTCAGCTACACACAACGAGTAAAAATCCTTCCTGCTCAAGATCGTCCTTCCAATGGCCGTATATTTAAAGATTTTGGGAGCTTCGCTGAATCGTTGATGTGTAGTGAACACACCTCCTTGTACCCCACTTTTGTAGTCTTCTCGGTTCTGATCTTGTCAAACACAGCCTGACTGCTTCTGACCCCCAGATGGCCTCATTGCTAGACCTTTCTTTTTAAGGAAGCGCTGTCCGTTTTTAAGGGTTTTAAAAACGTTTTGAGAAGCACTTCAGATTTTCCTTTGTCGTTTCTACCAGGAGCCATAAGTTTTTTAGGAAATCACTGGGGGTTGTGTTGCCGTTTTTGTTCCTCTTTTTAGCGGGGTCAGGCCCCTGACGTCGGGCACCCCGGTCTCTTAAGATTGAACGGACTCTGAATCCGCTTTTTGTCGGAAGCTGAGCACGCTGTGGCTTTTTCCAACTCTGTGTAACGTTTCTGAGTGTCGCGTGGTCGGACCCGTCCTGCGGCAGCCACAGAGGCGCTCCGGCTGCCCTGGGCCTGGTGTGAACGGCCCTTCTGTGCTATGTATGACCCGCAGTAGATCGCAGACGTCCCTCGAGAGGTTCTTGAAAATGTTTATTTATATTGTCCTTTTTTACTGGAAGACGTATGCATATCTTATTGATGTTGTATTTGAAGTGGTTAAGGAACTCTTGTACGCAGTTTTCTTTGGCTTCACGAAGCCGATTAAAAGACCGTCTGAAATGAACCTTTCTCTGACAATTTCCCTTTCATTGCACAACACACTCCCTGCTCCGGGTCGAGGCAGTTGGATCGGAGCGGGGAGCAGTTTGAGGAGGAGGTCTGCCAGTCCTGCCCAAGGCCCCTGGAGCACTAGACAGGGAGGGCCGGACGGACGGGTGCTTGCCGGGCCCCGTGGGACGCGGACTGCCTTTGGTCCCGGTGTAGGCGAGGAGGCGGGTGACGGGGAGAGCAGTTTAGCAGGGCCGGTGGACACTGGGGCACGTGACGCCGACCCAGACCGCCTTAGTCCAGAGGCAGGCAAGAGAGCGGGCAGCAGGCAGCGTCCCTGGGCGACCGCAGACGGACCGGCTCGTTAGCTAGCCCTGCTGTTGCTTTACAAGTTCTGAGCTTTCACCGCTAGCCTATGGAAGCTGCAGCCCCTCGGAGGACAGAAGTGTTGTGCGCCCAACAGAACCCTCTGAGACGCAAGCTGCTCCCTTGGCTAGCTCATATGTGGAAGTAGCCCTGTAATTCGAGGTAACTCCTTTTGCTCGTGTCCGCATCCCTCCTCTTGAGAGCTCGTTTGAAAGTAAAGTCACGTACCTGGGGAATGGTCCTTTGACGGTTTTTCCTTTTCCATTTTTTTTTCCTTTTTCCTTTTTTTTTTTTTTTTTTTTTAATCAAGCTAGCACTAAAGTCAGACCTTGGCCATTGACCCTTCCCCGCCTGCAGCCAGGCGCGCGGCCAGGCAGTCACGCCTCAGGAATAGGTTCGATCCGTAAGCAGGATTGGAGGCCACCAAATGCCCTGGTTTTTGGAATTTTTGTTCATCAATGGACCGTCTTTTCCAGACCTCCTTACTCAGGCTCCTAACTAGCGTTCTCTGATGTCTGTTGCTGCCACGAGTTTTTCCCAGAGCCCACGCTCTTCTCTAAGCAGCTCCGTCCCAGTTGGGTAGCTGGCTCTGCTGAGGGGTGGAACGTGGCCTGGCCCATTGGAAAGGCGCAGGCCCACCCTGGGCAAGCCAGCCTGTGACGGGGCCGCTTCCGGGATGCCCCCGATGACTAGGTTGAGACCCTCCTAGGAGCTGTGGATGGTTTCGGGGGGGGGGGGGGGCGGGGCAGATGCAAGCCGTAGTGGGGACACTGGGCGTAACGCTTCTTTGCTTTGGCAGGTTGAAAGAAAACCAGTATGACTTGGAAGGGTGGCCAGAGAGCAGCGATGACCTGGGGTCAATGTCCCAGGAGGGCCGTCACCTGGAAGTGAGAGCCAGAGGCAAAGTTGCTTACCTCCGACCATGTACCTGTAAGTGCTCTTCTGGGGTGGGCGAGTGAGGCCCCTTGGCCCTGGTTGTGCCCGGCCCATCCAGTGGGTTCTCCTCTCCTGAGCTGCCCCACTGTGACCCCAGCCAGAGGTTGGGCTTCCCACTGGATCCCTCCTTATCCCCCCTGCTTCTTGTTTTCCAGCAGGTGCATCCCTGGGGAGGCTGAGGTGCTGGGTTCACGTGGCCGGGAGGACCAGCCCTGTGCCAGTACTCTCCCTGGACGGGAGCGGGACCTGGACGTTGGATTTGAATAAAGGCCTGGTGTGTCCACACGGAAATCTGAGTTTGGCTTGGGGGCGTGGCCGCAGAGCTGGCGTGGAGAGGGACTTGGGAGTCCGCCAGAGAAACCATCTCCTGGCCTTTGTTCGGGGCCCAAGCTGAGCCCAAGCAGGAGCGACCACCTAGTCACTCGGTCGTCTCCTTGCGTGGTTCTCGTGGGTTCAGAGGGGCAGCAGGCAGGGTGCGAGGTGGTGGTGGTCCCCAGCCCCCCTCATCTGAGGCAGGCCTGCTCTCCCGGGGTCTTGGTATAGTGACCCCCAGAGCCTCCCATTTTGAGTTGCCTGCAGGGCAGAGCTTGCTTCCCGGGCTGGTTGCCTCCTGCCCCCGTCTTGGGGTGCAGAGCCCTGGGGCTGACCCTTGGTGGCGCTGCCGTGGGCCCTGAGCTGCGCACCTCAGCTCCCAGTGGGGTGGGGAGGGTGATGGCAGGGAACCCAGAGCCCGGTCAGTGTAGCCTGCAGCCCGTGAGAACGAGGTGCCCCCACTAGCTGGATCCCCACCCTCTGCCCGGGTTGAGAACAGCCGCAGGTCCCGGGACCGAGCGCCTGGAGAGCACTACCCCCCGCGGTGTTGCGGGCCATGGGCTTAGATGCCACCGTGCGTGCGGGGAGCGCTTCCCCAGGGAGGAGGTGCGAGCGGGCTGGGGGCGGGGGGCCGGGGAGCCCGAGGTGCGCGCGCAGCAGGCCGAGCGCCGGGCCCTGCGGGCCCCGCCCAGGAGTACCCGGGGAGCCGCGCGGTGGGGGCGGGTCTCTGCGGGCGTTAGGCCCCGCCCCCGAGGTCCATTGGCTGACACCGCCCCCGCGCCGATGAGTGACAACTGCTTGCGGAGGCGGGGCGCAGCCACCGCTTCCGCCGGGCCATGGGGCCGCGCGTGCCGCTGCCGCCGCTCCTGCTGCTGTTGCTGCTGCTGCTGCTACCGCGGGCGCTGCTGTGCGGAGCCGAGGAGGCCGCGCCCCCGTCGCCGCGCCGCGCGCAGGTCACGCTGTCGCCAACGCCCGCCGTGACGAACGGGAGCCAGCCGGGCTCGCCGCACAACAGCACGTACTCGCGCTCGCCGGGCTCGCCGGGCTCGGCGCTGCTGCGTTCCTTCTACGTGCTCACGGGCCTCAGCGGCCTGGCCGCGCTCTACTTCCTCATCCGGGCGTTCAGGTGCGTGCGCCGTGCGCCGCTCCCGCAGCCAGTCGTCGTGTGCCTGGCGCCTCACGTGTCTGCGCCCAGCCCCGCCCCTCGGCGCGGACTGGCGGCGCGCGCTCGTCACGTGGGCGGGGCGGGATGGGCGGGACGGCATGGGCCCCGCCCTTTTGCGGCTGCCTGTGCGGCGATGCCGCGGGATGCGCGTGCGTGGTGGACTTCGGCGGCGTCTCCCCCGCGCGGGCCGGCGGGGTCCTCCGGGGGGCGTTTGCCCGCGGCGCCGAGCGTGCCCAGACCCCCGGACAGGCCCTTCCCGGGCTCCGGTGACCGCGGCCCCGGCAGCTCCGGCCGCGTCCGCGGAGCCGTGTCCCCTTCCTGCGCGTGGCGGGAGGCCCGGGAGCGGGGCCCCTGCCCAGCCGGGCCTCGGTGAGGACCGTCGGAGCCAGGGAGAGTCCCTGTGGCGGGCGGAGCGCGAGGGGAGCGCGCAGACTAGGCAGCTCCGTGGCGCGGCTTGGAGGGGTCTGGCCGCGGGGCGGGCGCGAAGCAGGACGGGGTGTCAGCACCCCAGCCCTGGACGCGCCCGCGCGTGGTCCCCGAGCTTGCCTGGGCCTGCTTGCAGGTTGAAGAAGCCGCAGAGGCGGAGGTATGGCCTGCTGGCCAGCAGCGACGACCCCGCGGAGACGGCATCGCTGGACAGCGACGAGGAGGTCGTCTTTGAGACGCGGAATCTGAGATGGTAGCGCGGGCCTCCCCTCGAGCGCCAGGGACTCCTGTCGCGGGGTAGCGGGGCGGGCCAGGTCGGAGGGTCGGGGGCTGAGGGCCTCTGAGGCCTCGCTGTGATCCCAGGGCTGGCCTTGAGCTGCAGGCTGTGTGGCCCCGGAGCAGGGCTCGCCGGCTTCTGGCCTCCGGTAGTCAGCTCTCCAAGGCTGCGGTGCTTGCACTAGTGGACGCTGGCTGTGCTCCAACCCAAGAAGACCCCCGTGTGGGGGCAGAGAGGGAACAGTGGGCAGCTGCGGAGGGGCTGGGTCAGGGATGGCCTCCGTTGGGCCCCAGGCCCCGGAGAAGTATCAGGGCCCCCTGGGCGCAGAGCCCGTAACCAGTCTGAAGCAGGAGTGAGGGCCTGCCTAACCCCAGCCCCAGTGTGCTGGGGTGGGAGGTGCAGGCGTGGAGGCCAAGAGACCAGGAGACTCTTCAGGTTTTTCAGGCCCCAAGGGGAGGCATTGGTGTGATCTGAGATCCCCTGAGGCTGGGGGGCCCCTCCTCCTGAGCTGGGTCATCTGGTAGGGCCTAGCAGCTCATTGTGGTGGACCTTGGTGGACCACGGTGGAGGGGCCGGACAGGTGCGGGCGCTGCTCATCCCTTGCAGGATGGACCCCAGGCACGGCGGGGTCTCACCATCTGCTCCTCATCTTCAGACGTTCCGGTCAGGGAGGCGGCATTTCCAGAAGCCCCGGGGAGAGGACAAGAGATGGACCCTGCTCCCAGTGTCTGGTGCGCCCCTCTGACCCTCCTGCCAGCTTTGACACGGACTCTGAGAGCCCGCACGGGTCCTGCCTCACTCGCGCCTCAGCCTGAAGCCGCCTCGGCCCTTTGCCCAGACAGGACTGTGTCGGATGCTGGGTGGAAATCAGAGGCCCCGGAGATCAGCGGGACTGTGACTGGTGCTGCTCCCCCTGCTCCGTGGGGATGGGGCAGCCCCAGTGAACGCTGGGTGGGCGGGCGGGGTGGGATGAGGGACCTGTCTGGGGGCGTTTTCCCGCGGGGCTGGGGACAATAAAAGCCGCCGTGGATGTGTAGCTGCTGCTCTGCTTTGCGCGGGGCCCAACCCTGTGTGACAACGCGCAGGTGGCCGGAGGCTCATCTGCGACCAAGCCAGGCTTCTGTGGACCTGTCCCCAGGTCCTGGGGTTCCAGTGCGGAGTCCCCCAGGGTAGACGGCGAGCTGGGGGAGACCTACCTCACCTGCCTGGACAAGGTTCTTCAGGGACGTTGTCTCTGGGCCCGGAGAGAACTCTGTTCAGGTCAAAGCCCTTGTTCAAGGGCTCCCTCCTCTGTGCTTGTTGGAGCCGGAGTCCCATTCTCCAGTATCCTGCCCGGCCCTGCTTGCACCTCTGGCTCATTTGGGGGTGTTTCCCAAGGAGCCCTGGGGCGGGAGTGCGGGGGCTGGAGGTTCTGCAGCCTTGGGCCCCCGTGCCTGCTGCACCCTTCCCCAGCGGCCCTGTGGAAGTGTCCCCTGCGAGGAGGTTGGTGGGTTTCTCCATGGGCCTCGTTCTCCTTGTGAGCTGCGCTTTCTGGGCAGATTGCGGTTCTGGCCCGGCACCCTCACCCTCTAGGTTTGATGCCCGGAGAGTCCGAGGAGGGGCTGGCCCGCGGCCACCCGGCCGTGTCTCTGTGAGGCGCTGCCACCAGGTGGCAGCCTCGGGCCGTGCAGCCTCTTCCCGCCGGCCTGCTGGGGGGTGGGGGGGGCAGGGGGTGTGGCCTGTCTTGCCCTTGAGAGCCTGTGGTGCAGATGGGAAATAGGGCCAGCTGGGGCCTCCGTTTCTCGTGCCTTGTCCTGAGCCCCACCTTGTCCGCGGGGGCATGAGCAGAGCCTACTGCCTGCTCTGGATCTGCCAGCCCTGTGGGCCGTCCACTTCCCGGGGCCGGCTGACCTGCCCCACTGTGCAAAGCCCGGCCCCCTGCCTGCTACCAGCGCGCAGAAAAGCCGTCTCCGCCACAGCCAGCTGGTGCTCCCCTTCAGCCGGAGTGTCCTGCGATGGTCCCTAGTCTGCTTCCCTCGGCATCTCAGTTGGCCTCCTCCCCACCCCAAGTGGGCTCACATTTCCCCTTCTCTGGTGGCCAGCTGCTGCCTCCAGGAAGTCCTCCCTGACTGCTCCTCACATCCTTTTCTTTGGGAAGGTCTTGCACGGAGGGTCCCGCGGGAAAGTCCAGCACAGCCAGCATCCCTGGGCAGCCCGGAGATGTCCCAGCCCCTGCTCCTCTGGCCCTGGCTCTTTCTCCATCTGTTCCCACCACGGGTCTCTGTCTCTGATTTTGTGCTGGTGCGGCTTCCTCTGACTGTGACTCTCCGCCTGCTTGTCTGTTTCTCTCCTGCGTCATCTCTTCCCCTCGCTCTTCTTTTCCGTCCGTCCCCGTGTATCAGACCCGCTGGGGCACATTTTTAACAGGCACACAGACGCCGTCCCCAGCTCTCCCGTCCTGTGATCTGCGCCCCTTTCCCACAGCTCTGAGCGATTTTTCGAGCTTCAAAAGGCACGTTAATTACTCTAATGAGGTCAGGAGAGACCCTGCGCTCTGCTACCCGGAGCTGGGAACACACTGCATGTCCCCCCCAGGCCCAGCCGCCTCATGCCCACCCCAGTTGGGCAGGGTGGGGTGCCCCCGCCAGCTTCCCAGCCCTTACGCCTGTCAGCTGCCGCATCCCTGCGCACCCACACCCCCGTGTGGGCGCCGAGTGATTGGCGGCCCCCGCCAAGGTTAATGCACTATTAGCAGGAAGTTCTCAGCGGCTAAAAGCCAGGAGAGGGGCTGTCAGCTGGAGATGAAAGTCCCCGCCCAGGGCCTGCCGGCTCCAGGGCCCATGTGTGCACGCGGATGAGCAGGAGGGGGGTCTCCGAACGCCCCTCCACCTCTGGCACACACGCGCAAGCGTGTGGATACACACACCAGTGTTCCTGCACCGGGAGCGGGGCGGTGCACAGATCCACTGCCCAGAGCCCTGGAGGCCCCTCCCGACACCTTAATTCCCCACCACTGTCACCAGCGGCACACAAGCTGGGCACGGCCAAGGGCCGGGTTTGGGTCTCGGGCTCCCACGGAGGACAGGACCCGCCCCCAGCCTCGGTTCCCCATCTGGTCGCTCAAGCTCCCGAAGGGACGTCTCACAGCCAGGCTGAACCGGGCTGATGGCCCCTGGCGGGGGTCAAGGCCAGGTGTCTTCCCAGGAGCTGAGGGGCCTCCTCTGCTGGCTCTGGTAGGGGTCTCCCTCTGGCCAAGCCGGGGCCGCGGACGCCCGTTAGAGCCGAGGCGGAGGCAGCTTGGGTCTAATCTGTTCTTTACCGAGAAACTTCTCCGGCATGCCCTTAGCTTTCTCCCTGCCACTGCAGACTTCGAAGGTGTAAGGGCACTGGGTGCTGATCCCAAGCCACGGGGACTCACCCTGTGGGCAGCAGGTGGTGGGTACTGGGGTGGGGGTCAGGGGTGCAGTCTGGGCCTGGCCTGGATAAGACCCTCCCTGAGTCTGGGGCAGACCCCAAGACCAGGTGGACAGGGACGTACCCCATCAGAGACCCTATTCTGGATCTGGGCCTGGGGCTGACAGCCAACCCTGAATGACCTTTGACCTTGACTGAGCCTTGAACCCAAAACTGACCCCTGTCCCCAGAGAGAACCTGATCTCTGACTCTTCACTCCAGAAGAAGCTTACCCCAGAATGATCCCTGCCCCAGCTGACGTCCCCCCCCCAACCGCTGGCGGCACCTGGAGGCTGAGATGGCCGCCAGCCCCAGGGTCAGGGCCTCCAGGTGCCCACAGGGGCCCCTAGCAGGACAGGAGTCCCCAGAAGCCACTGTGCCCCCGCCCCCACGTTGCCTGGGGCCAGGCCTTGGAGTGCCCTGCCCTCCCCTCCGCAGGGCCCCTCCTCCAGGAGCTGCCTGCGGGGGCGCAGAGAGGCTGAATTGGGGACGTGCGCCTTTGTTCCTGTCCCTGCTCTGGCTCTGACCTTGAGAGAGAGACAAGAACAGAAGGAAAACAGAGCTTCAGCTCAAATCCGCTCAGACAGCGGCTCTGGCGGTTCTTGCCTTGGTTGCCCCTGCATGCAAATGAGCAGACCCGTCGCGGGGCCTCTGTCAGGCAGTGCTCTCTGCCTGGTGTGCCCTGCCCAGCTCCCCTCACCCCTGCGGGTCCAAGTCCTGCCGGGTTTGATGGAAGAGACCCCAGGCCCAACTGTGAGGTCCCATCAAATCAGAGGACAGAGGGAGCTTCCAGAAGGCCCCTCTTTGTCAAGCAGGACACTGGACTGGGCTGGGCATGCTGCCCCCCGCGGGGCTTATGGCCCTACTGCCATACCTGTGCCTGGGGAGAGGTCCCCACTAGGAGCGACCACCCCTGTGCTCTCCGAAGAGCCAGGCCCGTCAGCCGGGGTGAGGCCAGCCTGTGCTGCTGGAGCCCCCGGCCTGCAGTCCGCGGTGTCCAGAGGCTGTATTTGAAGGCCCTGCCAGGTGACCCCAAGCCAGTTCTGGCTTCTCTGGGCCTGCTGGGCCTGCCCTGGCCACTGGCCGTGGACAGGTTCCCACCCTGCTCTCTGGAGCCACGGGGCCACCCTGGGACTTGGGTGCCCGCAGTCAGGTAAGAGGATAAACCCAGAAGCCAGACCACCCAGAACAGACTGGCTGAGTTCCCCGGAGGGCAGAGGACAGAGAACCTGCCGGGGGTGGGGGGCGGGGGGCAGGGACGGACATGCCTTGATGGATGAGCGGAACCCAAAGGCCAGAGGAAGGGAAGGACTCTGAGAGAGGCCGCAGCCAGAGCACGGGCCGGGACGCACGTGGGGTACAGCAGCGACGCACCGGAGGTATATGGCCGGGATGGGTCCGTCCACCTGGCCGAGGTGACGCTTGCTCTGCCAGTCTCCGGACTTGTGGTAACCCCTCACGTGGGAACTTCCAGCTCAAGCGCTCTTGGCTCCTGGACCTTGTACCTCACCGGGCCTGGGCCCAGGAAACAAACCCAGAGCGGTGGGACCCAGCTGGACGCCATGACGGTTTCCAGCCAGCACCTGGGGACAGAGCACCTCGACAGACAGAAAGGCTGTGGTGTGACCAAGGACAGCAGTGGATGGACAGGCCCCCAGTTCCTCACCTGCAGTCAGCTGCCCAGGAGCGATGACTCTGAGTCCCCTGAACAGGCCAGGCACTCTGGGCCTTTGCTTATGCTCCCTCTGCCCAATCCCCTTCCCGGCCTTCCTCCCCCAACGGATTTCGCCTGTGTGTCGCCTTAATCTGCTGCTGCCCTGGTTCCCACACGGGGCTGCTTGGCGCCCACCCTGAACGGCGCAGTTAGACTGTGTCCGGCCCTATTATTTGCCCGGCACCCTTAGGAGCTGAAGCAGGGACTCGGGTTCCATTTCCCAGAAGAGGAGACGGAGGCCAAGAGAGGATGAGTGATGGTCCTGGAGTCCCCCAGGGAGGCAGTAGCTTTGGTGGTCCAGGACTTTGGACTTCGGGGGAGCAGGGAGGCAGGGAGTTAGCTCAGCCTAGTTCAGGATGTGGGGTCTGGGTTTAATGATGGAGGGGAGATGGGTGAATCCTCCCTGGGCCTCCTGCCCCTTGCCAGCGGCCAGGCTCTGCAGACTGCCTTGGTGGCCCGATTGCCAGGAACTCGGGGACCCTCGGCCAGGTCCTAGTGAGAATGATCATGGGGAGGGGGTGGCACGAGGCGGGCACACTCCGAGTCCGAGTCCGGTGTCTCCGGGGCAGGACCCCGGCGGGGCTGGGGCGGGGGCGGGGCGGGGGGGGTATGCCCGCAGCAGGCAGCCCCACCGGGGACCGGTCCGGCACGGTTCGGCCAGGCTGGCGGGCGCGCTGGAGGCAGGAGCCCCCGCACCTCCCACCCCCGCGCTCAGACCCCCGCGTGGCCGGGGCGCGGCAGGAGGGGGCGCCCGCGGCCCTCCCGGCGCTCGGGCGGGACAAAGGCCGGAGCCCCGGCCCCTCCCCAGCGGCTGCGGCGGCGGCGGCGGCCCGCGCTGCGAGAGTCCGCGGCCGGGGCCGGCGCCCGGGGCGACCCCGGCGCCTCGCCCGCCGCCGCCTGCCTTCTCGGCGCCCGAGGTCGAGCGCGCCCCGGCGAGGGCGGCCGCGGATCTCCAAGCGCCGGCGCGCCCTCCTCCCGCCCGCCCCGCGCCCGCCCGCTCGGCGGCGGCGGAGGAGGCGGAGACGGCAGGCAGGCGGCGGCCAGGCGAGCGCGGGGCGGCCGGACCGGGGCCATGGCGCCCGCGCAGCGCCCGCTGCTGCCGCTGCTGCTGCTGCTGCTCCCGCTGCCGCCGCCGCCGCCCTTCGCGCGCGCCGAGGACGCCGCCCGCGCCAACTCGGACCGCTACGCTGTCTACTGGAACCGCAGCAACCCCAGGTGAGCGCGGCCGCGCGCGGGGAGGCGGCGCCGGCGCCGGCGCCCCGGGCCCCCCCCACCCCCCCCCGGCCCTCCCGCCGCCCGGGCCGGGCCTCCCCGCCCCGCCTCGGGGCGGCCCCCCGCGCGCTCCGCCTCGGGAGTGGGGGTGCCGGGTCCCGCGCGCCAGCCCCGGGGGAGTTCCGCGCCCCGGAGTTCGGGGGAACTCCCGCTCCTCGTGCATCCCCCCCCCGCGCGCCCACCGGACGCCCTGCACGCCCCGAGCGCCGCTGGCCCCGGAGTTGGGGGACACCCCCTTCCGGCACCCTCAGGAGCTGCTCAGCCCCGAGTTCTTTCCCCGGACTCGGGGGTCCCCCATCCTGGGGCCTCTCCGGGGGGCCCCTGCCGGCGTCATAGTTGGAGGAGATCCCCGGGGAACCTTGTCGCTGAACTGTGCCACATGGGGCACCGTGGCCCCCAGGGCAAGGGGGCCGTGGGTGCGTCCTGCAGTGGGTCCCCACGTGAACTTGGGGAAGTTAATGTATTCCTCCCCGCCAGCCCCTAACTGCCTTCACTCCAGAGGGTCCCTGGTCCTAGCTTTGTAGAGATGGGGAGACTGAGGCTGATGGGGTTCCGGGCCGCATTCTGGGGGTCGGACCCAGCAGCATCCTCTCCCATCCGCCTGGTGCTGGTGGGGAAACCGAGGCAGAGTGGCTCAGTGGCTGGCTCAAGGTCACGGCGAGGGGAGCCAAGCTGGGGTGGGGACCCAGGTGACCTCGTGTCCAGCCTGCTGTGGCTGGCTGAGGTGTCCTGCCTGCCTGCACATCCCCCTCGGTGTCTAGTGCTAAGTGCACTTTGGGGGGCAGCCGAAGTCCCTGGCAGTCGGGGTGAGAAAACTTTGCTGGTGACTGACCATGTCCTGAACATTGGCTGAAGCCTCTGGGCCATCTCTGGCTCTCGGAGGCTGGAGTGCACTGGGGGTCCCATGGGAGATGGGCTTGGAGCTCCTACGGCTTTGGGGTCAGCCCCAGTACTCCTGGCTACACTGTGTTCCCATGGCTGGCTGGGCTGCACATAGGAGCTGGGGAGGCCAGCCTCCCTGCTTCCTGTCCCTGGGTCACTGGTCACTTTCCCTCTGCTTCGAGTGCCAGCAGACACCCTCCAGAGCCCACTGTCCCCTGCCATCTCGGTCCCGTCCCCTGGCGTTCTCCATCCTCGGGCAGAAAGTTGCATAAAGGGCTGTCTTTGAGGCAGACCCTGGGACAAGGGTAGCCAGTGTCCTGCCGTGGGGGGCAGGGAGCTCACCCAGACACCCCCTCAGTTGTCCAGCTGTGGGGTTGGGCCCCGGGGCAGAGGGCAGAGACCCTGGGCTGCAGAGGGACAGCCAGGCCACCAAGGAGCGGGTTCCCTGAGCCGCCTGCCCCGCCAGTTACATGTGGGTTTGATTAAGGCTCTTCACTGCGGCTGAGCGGGGGAGCCCAGTGGGCAGGGGGGGACCCCAGCGGGCAGGGCTTCCCCGGCCCAAGTTTTCGGTTTCAGCTTTGGAATCTCCGTCCCAGGCATAGCCTGTCCTTTGTTCTAGCAAACACCAAACACATGAGGAGCCTCGGATGGGGACGGAAGGGAGTGTTCGGGGCTGCCCGCTGCCCCACCTGCCACGGGGCTGCGGGCAGGATCCCAGCGGGGGGATGGAGGCCACCCCTGGAGCCTGGCCCTGCCCGGCCGCTCGGACACCGTCTGTGGTGAACCTGACAGCCCCCACTCCAACCGGCTGACCGAAGGCCTCGGTGGCCTAGGGAACCCCCAGGAGGAGGCTTGCCGTCTGGGGGTGGCTGGCCTGGAACCCGTGGCCAGGGACAGGGTGTGTGTCGGACACAGGAGTAGGGGTGGTGTTGGGCCTCGGGTCCAAGGGCGCCCAGAATGGAGATTTCCCGAAGGCACAAGTCCCGGGGACATGGCCCAGAGCAGAGATACACGGTCAGTGAGCAGGGCCTGCAGCGGGAGGTGGCCCCACGGGTAGGGACGCGAGACACAGGACCTGCTGGGTTGCCAGCAACTGTGGCAGGTAGAGGTGGGGAAATGCAAGGCCAGGGTGGGGGGCCGTGCCTGAGTGGGAGAGGGGCACACACAAAAGGCGGGCAAGGAAGGGGGTCAGAATGAGGGCTGAGCACACTGGAGTGGGGGTTGGGCGGTCAGTGGAGGAGCCAGAGGCACGGGTGTGCTCACAGGGGAGCGGGCGCAGCCAGGCACGGGCAGTGCTGTGGGGAGGCCGGCCATTCTCGCCCGCCTGGGCCTCGCACCCGCACCGAGGTACAGGGATGCGGCTCCATGTCCCAAACGACATTCTCCTGCCGTGCGCGGCGCGTTCCCCGCACCCCGTGGCACGGCCGTGGTAGGGTGGGGCCCTGCAGTCCAGCCGGTCACCAGGCCCTGGCACCCCCCTGGGTTGGCTGTCCAGCCGTCTGTCCGGCCGGTCCCTCCTGGTCGCCCCTGGGCTGGCCGCTAGGTGTCGGGGCCATGGGTCCCGGGCCAGCCGCCCTCCTGCGGGGCGGGTGTGCAGCGCCGGGAAGCTTCCGTGCGCCTTCCAGTCTCAGGCCGCGTGTCTGGGTGTCGGTGCGGGTTTTCGTCCAGGACATGCCAGGGTCCCAGGGACGCAGGAGAGGCAGGTCTGCGTGTGCGGCAGGGTGACGCATGTGCTCCGTGTGCACGGCGCCCGGCTCTGGCGTGTTTGCACGCGTGTCTGTGTGTGGGATGTGTCTGGTGTCTGGGGGCACGTGGATTTCTTGTGGGGCCGTGGGGGGCGCACACATGTGTCTGGTGTGGCTGGGCGTGGAGTGCACATGTCTGCACATGTGTGTCTGTGTGCATGGCCTGGCCTGGCCGTCCCGGAGCCTCCATGGAGGGGTCTGACCGTCCGCACCGATGGCGGCGTGGCTTGCTGTCCCCGCGGAGGCCCCGCTGTCCTGCTGGAGCTGGCTGTGTCCTCCCCAGGGTGGGTGTGCGTCGGTCCTGGGAGCCCCCAGGCTGCCTGTGCTGTGAGGGGCCGTGGAGGCCCAGGGCTGGCGTCATGCAGGGCGCCCCCCACCCCCAGGAGGCCCCACCTGACGGAGACCGGCCTCCCGAGAGGCCACGGGGCTGGGGGCTGGGGGCTCGAGCCCACCCTCCCCAGGCAGGTCGGGCACACTGAGGGTTGCGTGTGCCTCTGAGTGGGGTCGGGGTGCTTCTGCGTGGGGGAGCTGCGGACAGGAGCATGGCGACTGGAGAAGCGTCTTCTCCGGGGTGCAGGTGCCGGGCGTCCCAGGGCCCCCGGCCCCTCAGCCTCACCCGGGCCTCCAGGGAGGAACGGCTTCTACCGGCTGATGCTGTGGTTTGCCGTGGGAGGGTTTTCTGTTTTGTTCGAGAGAGGTTAGCGTGCCTGGCATCCAGGGCTTGGCGAGCGGGGCCCCGTGGGGCTGGGGGTGCCATGGGGAACCCCGGGAAGCCGGAGGCAGGCGGGGCTGCTGGGAGCCTCCCGTCTCCTCTGTGGAGTGGGGCGGGCCAGTGCGGCACGCAGCCCGCGGGCACAGGGCCCAGGGGCTGGGCTGGCCGAGGCCGTGACCCCGGGGGCTCAGAGGGAAACCCAGAGAGCTCCTGCCGGCCAAACACGAGGGCCTCTGGGGCTCGGCCCCGCATTCGCAGTGACAGCAACTGCGGCCCTGAGAGCGGGTAAGGAGCAGGGAAGTGGGACGGGGTCCGCCAGGGGGTCTGCAAAGGGGTCAGCGATGGGGTCTGCGGAGAGGTCGGCATCAGGGTCCTCGGTGGGGTCTGCGACTGGGTCCGCGGTGGGGCAGCCTGCACTGCGACGCCCCCACCTGCCGGCGGACGGGCGAGGGGTCCTCTGTGTCCCCCGCCTCCGTCCCCCCCCACGGTGGACCGCCGTGGGCAGCATCCACGTGCAGATGAAGAATGAGGCTCGTGGCTGAGGCCCCAGGATACGCTGTATGTGCAGCAGCCTGGGGCCTCCGTCTGCCTGGGGGCGCCGACCCGGGTCCCCCAGCAGACGTCCCTGCGGGGTCCTCAGGACCATGGCCGGAGCTGGCTCTCGGGACAGCAGGTGCACTAAGGCGGTCTGGGAGGCCGAGTCTCTGAGGCCCCATTCCACAGCCCCTAAGCTGGACCCGTGTTTTCCCCGTGACACCCCCCACGCCCCTTCCCCCTCCTTAGGCAGCAGGGACACAGCCAGCCTTGCCCCGTGGTGTGGCTTTGGGGGGATTGTCTCTTCTGGAGCTGGATCCAAAGCAAGGCTTGGCCGGGTCTCCTGCCCCTCGATGCCAGCTGCCGTGCCAGTGGAAGGGCAGAGCCACCTTCCTGCCCCCACACAGCGGAAAGCCAGGTGTGTCTTGGCACAGACTTGGGCGGGGTCTTCACCTTGGCCAGACTTTGAACTCTGGCGGGCCAGCCCTGGCCGGGGTCTCACCCCCAGGCCCGCACTCTTGTCGACAGGGCAGAGGGCTCAGCCGCCGTGCCTCGGTCTTCCAGCTGGACCTGGGGACCGTGGCTTCGAGGGGCTCCGTCCACCACGTGAGCCTGGTTGTCCCCTCAGCTGCCCCCCCTGCCACAGCCCTGCACCCCGTGTGACCTGCCCACCCCGTTATGCGCCGGTGGGGAGGGACTCATCCATGGCCCCGTCGGATGACCCCCTTCCTAGAGGCAGGCGTGTCTGGAGCATCCTGGGGGGCAGGGGTGTCGGAGACCGGCCCCCCCCCCCGCCCAGGCTGCGGCCTGCTTGAGACCCAGGCCCGGAGGCGGGGCTGGCCGTGTGGCTCCCCGCCTCCACGTCTTGTGAGCACCCTGCCTCATTGTTCTACCTCTTGCTTTGGGTTGTCCCGGCACACGGGAGGCCATACTCAGCCTTTCGTGGACTGACCCTGCGTTCCCTCGGGGCCCCAGTCTCGCGGAGGCCCCGCCCAGCGCCCCAGCGCTAGGAGGAAGGGGCCAGGTCTCAGGTGGGGGAGGTGTCTTTCTACCCTCGGAAAGCTAGGGGTGGGTGCTGAGGTCTTGGGGGCCCCCGCTGAGAGTCGGGAGAGGGGCTGGCCCTGCCCCAGCCTGGGCCTCGGCCCTGCTGCCCATTCAGGGCACCCCTTGCTGGGGTCTCGACACAGGCGTCTGCCGGCCCCTTCGCTGGCAGCTGCGACTGGGCTCAGACCAGGGAGACAGTCCCGCATGCAGCAGGGGTGCACAGCACCTTGCCGTCCTGCCCGCCTCACCCCTGCCTCAATTTCTGGTCTGGGGAGGCGGTGCAGCCCTCCCTGCCCCGCTCCCATTTTGGGTGAGACTCCTAATTAGTTGCTTTGCTATTAGTGTCTAATGACTTGACAATGGCCCGATTGAAACTAATTAGCTGCAGGCCCGCGGTGGGGGGGGGGGGGGGGGGGGCAGGGTTGTGCCCACCAGGGGCTGGGAGGGCTGCCTGGAGGAGTGCACAGCGCCGGTGGAGCCGGCAGGCTGAGCAGGAGCGGGTGAAGGTGTGGCAGGGGAGGGGTTGGTGTAGGTCTGAAAGCCTCAGGAGCCCTCTGTCTGGGAACCCATCCCTCGGCAGTCATTAACCCGTTAGTGAGAACTGCTGTCTCGACCGGCTGTTCCCACGGAGCACTTGCCCATCATGCTTCTGCACTAATGGAGAAAATGAAAGCTTTGTCTTGCTCCCACTGGCTTGGTTTTGGGGTTGGGCTCCTCCCCCGCTCAGGCGCCACCCTGAGCAGGGGCCAGGCGCCCGCTCCTGGTTTGCCCGCCAACTTGGAACCCGGAATGCCAACGCAGCAAGGCCATCGCTATTTTAGAGCCGGGGTGGGGGGTGGGATGGAAACAAATGGTCCACTTAGGCAGCCAGAGGCTGGTTCTGGGACCCACCTACCTGGGGTCCTCACCCCACTGGGTCTGCTTCCTATGACTCCAGCCCCTCAAAAACCTTGAGCCTCAGGCCTTCGTTTGGTCAGTGAACATGTGTCAAGGTGCTGTGTACAGGGCCTGTGCTGGCACGGAGGGGAGGGGTGGAGGAGGAGGCTGACCCCCATGGCCCAGGAGGGCAGACCACAGACTGCGTGACAGTAAAAAGTGTGATGACGTTGAAATGGGATATGTGATGAGGTGGAAGGCGCAGGCAGTGGGGACAGCGTGTGCAAAGGCCCTGGGGTCAGGACAGGGCCAGCTGGATGGCAGGTGTGCTAGAAGGGAGTGAGCTGGGAGCAATCACAGGGCAACCAGGGTGGGAACGGTGGGGCCTTTGGACCTCGTGACCTGGGAGGACTGTGGGTTTATTCTGAGCGATGCGGAGCTGTGAGCCACTGGATCACAGGGTCTGATTTACATTCGGAAGAGCAAGCCCTGGATTTTGGGAGGCCGGGGTCCCGGCCTGCCTGCTGGGGCCCATGCATCCAGCCTCTGAACCAGCCAAGCAGCTTCGGCTTCAGACGTTTTTTGGAAGATGAAATGGGAGAGGGGAAGGACGTTGGTCCAGTGCAGGGGAGGAAGGCAGATATTGTGAGAGAAGCACGGGCAGGGGCGGAGTGGGGAGAGCTGCTGAAGTTGGGCAGCCCTACCTCCTGAGAAGGGCCCCACGGAGAGCTAAGCTGTCCTCTCCAGGCTGAGTGTGTAATCCCTGCCTGATGCCAGGGAGGAGAGGGGAAACTGAGGCCCAGAGGGGGCCAGGGCCAGGACGGCAGCTCGGCCCTACACGCCCTACTGGGCACCCCCCTAACTGTGGTTTCTGTGTCTCCACTTCCCCTGCGGGGCTGGGCACTGGCAGTCCCACCAGGCGCTTGGCCCTCGTTGACTGGCGGATCGGCGGGGCTTCCGGTGGGCTGGGAAGGAGCAACAGAGGGGCCTGAAAAAGCCTGTGGGGGTTTCTGCATCGGTCTTGCCCAAGCAACTGGAGAACAGACCCAGCCCGCGAGACAGCCGTGCTTGACCGCAGTCCTCCCTGGCCCTGCCCCGGGCCCACCCTGCCCCGACCTGACCCTGACCCAGGGTGGCTCCACCTCTGCAGGGTCCACAGTGGACATGCCTGGGGTTCCCCCATCAGCCTCAAAGACCGTCCCCACTGCACAGAGTTGGAAACTGAGGCTTCTGAGAAGGAACCACAAGGCCTAGCTGGGTGCCGGCTTGTGCCTGATCAGAACTCTGCCACCCCCACCAGACGCCACTTCCCGAGTCTCCCTGCTCTTTGCCCTGACCTCTGTGGGGGGGGAGCTGAGCTCCCCATTGCTGGACATCCCCAGGAGCACGGAAGGGGCTGGTGACGAGCCTGCTCCCTCCGACGCTCTGACCAGGAATTCTTGGAGCCTCCATCTCAGCCACAGACTTGAAATCACCATGAGACGCTTGTGCAGACTGGGAAACTGAGGCACAAGCGAGCAAGGTCTCCTGCTTGCCTCACTCCCACCGCTGGAGCCCTAGGAGCCCTCTCCCTCGACCGGTGCAGTCTCAGGGACCGCAGGTCCTCTGATAATCCAGCCACCCCCCCAATCAGCATGCCCGGCACGGGGGCCACACCGCTGCTCCCCCGTCCCCCCGCACTGGGGCGGTTGGCATGGCAGAGCTGGAGTCCAAGCCACCAGGCCGTCCCTGCCGTGGACCTCACTGGGGCTCAGTGTCCAAGCCTGTGCGGAGAGGGAGAAGGGGCAGCCCGGGAGCCTGCGCCCCAACCCTCCCTGCTTGGGCCTTTTATGTGCTAATCTCCTCCCCGAGGCCCCCTTGTCCCACCTCACATGACAGGGACCTAGGGGACCACAGCAGGGAGATCGAAGGGCTCCTGGCACTCTAGCCTGAGGCAGTGATGGTGTGGGGGGGCTTCCTGTTCCTCTCTCAGCTGACCGGCTCCGGGGGGGCCCTCCCCAAGGAAGGGGTGCAGGCTGCATGACGGTGGGGGGGACCTCCAGGGCAAAGGTTGGGAAGTAGGGCTGAGGGGCAGAGGTGTCAGGGGTGGGGGAAGCCGCTGCTATGACCAAGAGGCTGGAGGGGACAGTGGCCAAATTCTAGGGGCTCTGGAGTGAGGATCTTGGACTTGTTAGGGTCACAGGGACTGAAGGAGTTGGGACTGGGGGTCCAACCCAGAGCACATCTGAGCTGGGAGGGGGCGTCCTTCACGGGGCACTGAGGCTAGGAGAGGGGTCAGAACTAGCCCCCCGGGGCCCGGAACACCCAGCCTGTGTCCCCACACCCCCCTGTACCTTCTTCTTCTTTTTTTCCCTTATTTATTTATTTTCTTATTTATTTATTTATATTTATTTATTTGTTTATATTATTTCTTATTTATTTATTTATTTATCACAAGTAGGCAGAGAGGCAGGCAGAGAGGCAGGCAAAGAGAGAAGGAAGCAGGCTCCCCGCCGAGCAGAGAGCCTGATGTGAGGCTCAATCCCAGGACCCTGGGACCATGACCCGAGCCAAAGGCAGAGGCTTTAACCCACTGAGCCACCCAGGCGCCCCTTCTTTTTTAAAGATTTTATATTTATTGGACAGACAGAGATCACAAGCAGGCAGAGAGGCAGGCGGGGCGGGGGGGGGCATGGGGGGAAGCAGGCTCCCTGCTGAGCCCCCCCATGTAGGGCTCGATCCCAGGACCCCGAGATCATGACCTGAGCCGAAGGCAGAGGCTTCACCCACTGAGCCCCCCCTCCCCCCCGGCGCCCCCACCCGGTACCTTCTTGGCAGCCAGATTTGCAGAAGGAAAGCTAAGGGGGCTGCCTGTGGGGGGCAGTGTGGGGAGCTTCCTGGAGGAGGGGGCGTGGGGTCAGGCAATAGCGTTTTTCTGGAGACGGAGTTCATGATGGGGGAAACAGCTTGCACCAGCCCTGCTTGCCACAGACCGGCCCAGATGCCCGGCGGTGGGGGGGGCGGGGACGGGAGAGGGGGTCCCAGCGGCGCCGCACCTGCTCGGCGGCCTGCGGTTACCCAGCAGGCCCGGCGACCGCCCCTCCCCCCCAAGCAGGTGGGCGGGAGGCCAGGGCGAGCCCGGACCCCACGGCGGCCTGGGGGTGGGGGGTGGGCACGTGGGCTCGAGCCCTGGAACGTCTCCCCGCGCCCCCGGCCCCCCACTCCCCTCGCACTGACCCGGCCCCCCTCCGGCCCCCCCTCCCCCGACCGGCCCCGGCGCGCGGACCGCGGGGCCGCAGGTTCCACGCGGGCGCGGCGGACGACGGCGGCGGCTACACGGTGGAGGTGAGCATCAACGACTACCTGGACATCTACTGCCCGCACTACGGGGCGCCGCTGCCGCCGGCCGAGCGCATGGAGCACTACGTGCTGTACATGGTCAACGGCGAGGGCCACGCGTCCTGCGACCACCGGCAGCGCGGCTTCAAGCGCTGGGAGTGCAACCGGCCGGCGGCGCCCGGGGGGCCGCTCAAGTTCTCGGAGAAGTTCCAGCTCTTCACGCCCTTCTCGCTGGGCTTCGAGTTCCGGCCGGGCCACGAGTACTACTACATCTGTGAGTGCGCTGGGGTGGGGGCGGGGTGCTGAGTCAGTGCGGGGGGGGGGGGGGGCATGTGCCCTGGTGCTGGAGGCAGAGGCCCCTCCCAGGAAGATGGGGTCTGGGCTGGACTGTCCCCTTGGGGCCCTCCTCCCACCCTGGCCTTTGTCTCCCTGGGCTCAAGCTCTTGAATGGTATTCTTCCAGCAAGCCCCAGAGGCTTGTCAAGGGTCCCCATTTTGCAGGTGGGGAAACTGAGGCTCAGAGGGGCCTTGAGAGTCCGAACCCACAGCTTCCCTTCTGGGACCTCAGTCTCTGGACCAGGCCACCATGGGCTTGTCCAATCCTGAGACCAGGGGTGCTCCCCACCATTGCAGTGAGGAGGGACACAGGCACGGGGAACCTGGTGGGGCAGGGAAGCATGGTCAAAGCCAGTGAGAGGACAAAGCCCGTGTTCTGCCCAACCGCCTGGCTTGGGCAGATATTTCCCAGGTGCCCCCCCAGCTTCCCCCCCGCCACCCAGTCTCCCCCCATCTGGCCCACCTGGCCCAAGATTCCCCAAGGACCTTGGAAGCTGCTTTTCAAGGCTTGGGACCCTCAGGCACACACAGCCCCACACTGGGGCAGAGGGTGGGCTGCCCCTGGCTCTGCTGCCCATGGGGGTGGTCCCAGGGGGCCTCTGTGTGCTTCCCCATAAAGTCCCGGTGGCAGGGCGCGGGGAGGCGGGAACACAGCAGAGCTGGGCCTGGGTTTGGGTCCAGATCGTGCTATGTTCTTCTCCATGAACCTCAGCCAGGATCCTCGGGCCTGGGTGTCACGCCCCACCAACATGGGGGCCTCCGGGTGCCCACCTTGTCACCCGGCTGATGCCTCTGGGCAGCACTGAAGCACCATGGTGTTGTGGGGGTCCCCATTGCTCAGCATCTTGGGGCCTCTGGGGAGCCAGGAGGGGAGCCAGGCTGTGGGCAGAGGCCACCCCTCGCCGCCCTGGTTCCTGCTGCGTCAAATTAAACTGTACAAGCCTCATTCTTCCTTTCTGCTCTATTTGGATTTTTTCCTTTTAATTCAAGGAAAAAGCGGGTGGAGGAAGGGGGAAGAAGGTGTTTAAATTAAGTCCTCATAATATAAGAAAAATTACATTTTTCTTTCCAGGACGGGAGTTTCATAAAGATAATTATTGTAATTATTCGTTCTATCTCTGTGACGAATGTTATTTTTATTACGTGCTTTTTTATCTTCATCTCCCAGCACAAGGGGCTTCTAGAGGGGAGGGCGGAGGAGGCAGCCACCAGGAGGCCTGGCTGTCCGTGTGCGTGAACAGACTTCCCATGTGTGAACCCCACTGGCCCTCACTGGCCTTTGGGCCTCCTTCCCTCTCCCTGTCCTGAGCCCCAAGTCCCCCTCCGTTGTGACTCTGCTGATGCTGCGTTCTACCCCCATCCTCTGCAGGGTACTCTCATGTGGGCCAAAAAGCAGGGAGCAAAAATGGGATGTTAGGCACAAGGCCCGACCATGCTTCTGCCTCCACGTGACCTCTAGCAGTGTGGGTCCCTCTCGGGGGGAGGTGGGAGTGCAGCCTCTGTCCCAGGGGTTACCGGCTTCTGCTGGCTCCCAGATGGAGGCCATCATTTCCAAAGCACATACTGTGTGACAGATGAGGCCCAGATAGGGGGTGACTTGCCCACGGGCACCAGAGAACAGGTATCTGATCCCAGATCAATCATTGGGTTATACTGATTTTTTTTTTGCTGACCTGTTCAATACAAACGCATTTTTGTTCATCACCTTTGAACCTTTCCCTGTGCTGCCGTGGGGTGAGATGGAACCAGACAGACACCTCCATTCTCTCGGGTCCGGGTTCAGCAAAGGAAGGGGCAGGGGGAGTGCGCAGGAGGACTTCTGGGAAACAGAGGGCGTCCTGTCTGGGGCTTTGATGTATGGTCAGGAGTTTTATGGGGGGTGCCTCCCATAGCCTTGGGGGGGTGGGTTGAGCTGCCAGTGTGGGAAATGAGACACGGCCCCAGGAGGTCCCCTACTCCACCAATCCCCGTCTCCCTCTCTTCCAGCTGCCACGCCTCCCAATGCTGTGGACCGGCCCTGCCTGAGGCTGAAGGTTTATGTCCGGCCTACTAGTAAGTCCTCAGGGCACCGTGCAGGGTTCAGTCCCCCACCGTTGTGTCCCGAACCCACAGAACCCACTCTGTGGTCAGCAGGGCCAGAGTGCTCGGAGCACAGCCCTGGGAGTCCCGTGACCTCAGCGATGGCTGCGCCAGCCCCTGCCCAAGCCTCAGTTTCCCCATCTGTAAATGAGGAGAGCGTTTCAGACCCTCAGGAGTACAGGTCAGGACCTGGCCGTGTGCTGAGGCCAGAGCCCTGTTCCCCCAAGAGTGAGCATCAGCGGGGTTTCCTGAGATAGACCTAAAGGGCCCATGTCCTGAACTCTTGAACCATCAGAGCCACATCCAAAGAGGAGGGGGTCTCCACAGTCCCTCGTGACGTCCCCCAGGTGCTGGACACACATGATTTGGCACCTGCTGTTTGCTGTGCTCTGCCCAGTGAAGACGGTCAGAAGTGCCCCAGCTGGGGTGGGGGGCGGGGGGCGGGGCCACCTGATGACCGTTCTGCCTCCGTGTCCCTCCAGACGAGACCCTGTACGAGGCCCCTGAGCCCATCTTCACCAGCAACAACTCCTGCAGTGGCTTGGGGAGCTGCCGGCTCGTCCTCGGCGCAGTGCCCGTGCTGTGGACCCTCCTGGGCTCCTAGTCCCGGCCCGCCTGGACGGCCCTGCCTAGAGACCAGAGAAAGACTCCGATTCTCCCACGGCTGGTGCTGCCCCTGCCAGGCTGGGGGGCTGTCCGCCGCCCCACGACCAGCCCCGCGGGGTGTGTGGCTAAAGACCCCGAGGCCCGAGAGGCCCGGAAGCTGGCCAGTGCCTGGCCAGGCGGGCTCTTCTAGAGTCCCGGAGAAGCCAAGAACCTCTCAGCAGTGCTTTTCTTTTATGGTGGAATCCGAAAGACTTGAGTTTTTAATTTAATTTATTCCTTGCTGTTGCCGGTGACTTTGGGAAGGAAACAGTGGACGGGGGTTGGGGTGGTCCCTGGCCCCCTGGGGCACAGGTCTGGAGACCCCTGGCCTGGTCACTCCATCTGTTGGGTCCGGGCTGGAGCCCGCCCTGGACCACCCGCGAGCCCTGGAACAGGCCGGTCTGAGACCGAAGGGGTGAGTGGCGACCGCCGGCAGGCCCTGGTCCAGGAATCAGACCCGCCTCAGACCCCCGTCCCCTGCCCCACCCCCCTCGCTCCTGGTGACCCCTGCCCAGAGCGGAAATCGGGGATGTGCCACTGGGGGCCTCTTCAGAGTCACAGCCTCCGAGGCTTAGAACCGCTTGGGCCCCCTCCCCCCGCACCGCCCCAGCCTCACCAAGCGCCCCCCACCGCAGGCCGAGAAGACATGACGCTTCTGTAAATAGACTGGGCAACTATACTGTGACTTATTTCTACTGTGCTCCTAAGGACGGCCGGAGAGTTTCTTCTTCTCTTACCCCTTCCTGGGAGGGGGCACTTCTGTTTGGCGAGGGGTGGGGGGACCTTTTAGAGTAGAAGCCACCTTCGCAGTGAGCTCGATTGTCTGTCGGAGCCCCTCCCCCTGCGCTAGGAACTACGTTTATAAGAGAAAACAGGACGACGCAGAATGCGGGGGCCACACTCAGAAAGAGACTCCCGACCCTTTCAAGAAGCAAACGGCATTTATACGGATTTCATATTTCTACCCGCCTTTCCTGATCTGTGTTTTCTATATATTACACGTACCTACACAGCGCGGCGCCGGGACGCGACCCGGCTTCTGGGGGCGGCGCGGCTACGCTGGGAGCTGGCGGCACAGGCTTCCCCTTCTGATAAGATCAACTTTGGATTCTGTATTTTTTTATAATAAAATGAGCATAAACCTCAAGGGTGTGCCTGTGTGTTTGGGGCCACCGACCCTGACTGGGCGGCACAGTGTGGGGTGGGGTGGCGTCTGGCGTGGGCCAGGGAGGGGTGTCTTCGAGGAACGTCTGGGGCCCGTCATAGCCGGGTCTCAGGGGGCTTGGGGGCCAGGTGCTGGGATGAGCCTCCGGCGGCCTCAGTCACCCCCAGGCCAAGAAATGGGAACGAGCCCCCTCCCACCCCACCCCCGCCGTGGGGCAGCTGGGAGGAGGGAGGGAAGAGACCCTGGCGGCAGCAGGAGCACAGGGGAAGCCAGGACCCCAGGGCTGGTCAAGGCGTCCGGCTCCCTGCTCCATGTCGGGGGCGGGGGGGATTGGCGAACCCCGATTTCATCTCGGCTCCTTTAGAATCCAACCACCTTCTCTGACCTCTATGTCACCAAGCTCTGCTGCTTTGTGACTCAGTTTCCCTAACTGCCCAGGCCAAGGTAGGGGTCAGTCTATTGCCTCTCAATCCCTCTCTGGCTTTGCAAAAGGCAGGTGTCGGGAGCTGTGGGGTCCCAGTGGCCTTCACTCCAGCCTCGCCCCAGCAGGGCCAACGGGCAGGGATCGTCTCAGAGGCTTGTCCCCTCGGGGCCACCCGCTAGGACTGAAGCCTCCTGGGCACAATTAGCAGGGAGGGAGGAAGGCTCTCAGCTAATTAATTCAGCCGAGCTTAGCCCAGCGACAGAGCCTGCCTCTTAATGAACCCACTGAGCCGCACAAAGACCCCTGTGTGCGTCCCACCTGCCGTGCCCGGTGTCGCGGGGTGGCCGAGGGACACCTGTGCTGAGCACCGTGGAGGGAGACGCTAAGGACCCCCCAATCCATGGTGAGGACCCGGAGGCTCAGAGAGGGAGGAGGCCTCCCCTTGCCACAGGGGAGGGGACCCGAGGGACACGGTGCTGGGACCGTGGTGGGACCCCAGCACTGACTTTAATTTTCTTACTAAAAAAAGTTGTTGAGGGGCGCCTGGGTGGCTCAGTGGGTTAAGCCTCTGCCTTCAGCTCAGGTTGTGGTCCCAGGGTCCTGGGATCGAGCCCCGCATCAGGCTCTCTGCTCAGCGGGGAGCCTGCTTCCTCCTCTCTCTCTCTGCCTGCCTACTTGTGATCTCTCTGTCAAATGGATAAATAAAATCTTAAAAAAAAAAAAAAGTTGTTGAGATATAACTCCTGTACCACACTGTCGTCCACGTAAACGTTAGTACATCCACAAGTTGTGCAGCCGGCCCTCCATCTGATTCCAGAATTCTCTCTGCCCCCAAGGGCAACCCCTCCCCATCCTCTGTCAGATCCCAGCCCCCGACCCCCATGAGCCCCTTCCCGTCCGTGGAGGAGCCTGGTCTGGACGTGTCACAGGCGTGGACTCACAGCCCGTGTGGCCTCCTGTGTCTGGTCCCCTCCCCACGCATCGTGGGCTCGGGGTCTGTCCCCAGGGCAGTGCCTGGGGGCCTCGCTCCTGCTTGTGGCCGAGTGATGTCCCAGCGTGGAGCTATATCACATTTTTTGGTTATCCTTTCACCAATTTATGGACATTTAAGGTGTTTCCAGGTAGCTATTATAAGGATTTTTTAAAAAGATTTTATTTATTTCTTTGACAGACAGAGATCACAAGTAGGCAGAGAGACAGGCAGAGTGGGGGGGGAAGCAGGCTTCCCACAGAGCAGAGACCCGGATGGGGGGCTCCATCCCAGGATCCTGAGACCATGACCTGAACTGAAGGCAAAGGCTCAACCCACTGAGACCCCAGGCGCCCGGGACTTTTAAAAAAGATTTTATCTACTTATTTTAGAGGGAAGGAGCAGGAATGGAGGAAAGGGCAGAGGCAGAGGGAGAAGCAGGCTCCCCACTGAGCAGGGAGCTCCATGCGGGGCTCGATCCCAGGACCCTGACCTGAGTTGAAGGCAGACACCCAACCTACTGAGCCACCCACGCATTCATTTAAGACAAAGTTTTAACATAAAAGGTAATGTCAGGTGGGTGAGTACGAAAGTAGCCTTGTTCCCACCTCAGGGTCCTGGCATACGCTGTTCCCAGCTGTTCCCACTGCCTGGCCTACGGTTCCCATGGGTCACTGATTGGCCGTCTGCCCGGGACCCTTCGGACCAGGGCAGATGTCCTCTCTCAGCCTCCCTGGCCACCGGGCCACTCAGCCCACCCGCCTCGAGTGGAATCTGGTTCTTGTCTGCTCTCCCCTGCAGGCTGGGAGCCCCCAGGGGAGCAGGGCCAGGCCTGCCTGGGCAGCACCGGGACCCAGTGCCCACAGTGGGGACACGCCCCTTGGACCTGTCACCCACCGGCTGCGTGCAGAGTCGCGTTCGCACATGTGCAGAAGAGCCCCACAGCCACGCTACCCCCGCCACACCCATGTACTGCCTGGGGCTTGCATGCAGGCCCTGGGTCTCTCAGGAACCACCCCGTCCGTCGCCAGCCACAGACCACTACCAGACCACGGTCACCACGCGGGGTGGCCGCTCACTCCCAAGGCTGCACTGAGCACAGTGAGGCCCCTGGGGACCATACCCCAGCCTCAGCCGGATGACGCGCACCACCCCGCAGGCCCACCAGCAGCCATCGGTATGCAGGTCCGACACGAACCAGCTCCAAGGCTGGTTTGTGCTGCCTCAGTGCCCCGCTACGGAGAGGGGGTCCTGGGCGGAGCTGGTCAGGTCTGCAGCGTCTTGGCTTGGGAGCGGAGTCAGGCCTCTGTCCCTAAACACGGCCCCGGAGGCCCTGGCGGCCCCTCTCCATCTCCACTGGAGAAAGGGCCCCAAGGCCCATCATCCCTCACCCTCAGGGCTGTCGGGGACCACGTTGACTTCAGGGGTCCTCTGGAGTCCCTCAATTACAGTCCCACAGCCAGAAGCCCCCATTGCCCCTGCTTTCCACAGCAAGTAAAGGCCACGGGACCATTGCAGGTCTCAGCCCTGTGCCTCCCTGTCTCTCTGGTCGCTGCCATGTCATCAGGGCCTAGAGCATGCCTGGTACACAGCAGGCGCTCCATAAACGCTGTGAACGGGGCGACGGAGCATGGAAGCTGCGGAAGCAGAAAGGAGAGAACGTGACAGATGACTCACTCCCACCCAGGTCAGCGCCCCGAGAGGGCACTTTCGGGCCCCTCTCCTGTATGGGTCAGTCTGGGCCCTTCCCTCGTCTGCGGGCCCTTGTGGCCTCCGGGCCCAATACTGGGGGCACTTAGGGACCACGGGAGGGTTGGGGCGCCTGGTCCAGGTTGCAGGTGGCCAGGAGGCCACAGATGGACAATTAAAAAGCAAGTTCACAGCCCAGGAGCCCCCAAGGAACCATAAATCAGAGCAAGATGACACACAAGCCAGAAATTAACTGTCCGCAGCTGGGCCGGTGTGGCCAGTGGGGCAGACTGCCATGGGAGGGGCTCCTGTCCCCTCCTGGTCCCCCTCGCCAGCGGCTGGCACGCTGTGGCCGGGGGGAGGGGCCTGCATGCCCCGCCTAGGGCAGGGGGCACAGCCGCAAGCCACCAGACTGAGGGGTGAGCCAGTCAAGTCGTGGCCCAGTCTTTATGGAGGCCGTGGGTGGGGGAGAGCTCAGGGGTGTGCAGAGGAGCTGGGGGAGCCGTGGGAGGCTCTGGGGCAGGACTGGAAGCCAAGGAGGAGCGGACCGGGGTGTTGAGCACCAGGCCCCGGGTGGTCTCACCAGGACCCGAGGCGCACACCTCGGTGCCTCCCTCCCTGTGGAGTCACCTGGCGGAGCAGAGCCCCTGCCTGTGGCCCCCGTGGGCCCTCTGCACACTTATAGGAACACGGGGCTTGCCTGCTCAGTGGTGGAGACCCCAACGTTTGGAGTGAGCCCCCTCCCTCTGAGGCCAGAGATTGGGAGAAACTCTCGGGGTGGGGGGGGTTGCCGCTTCCCTGCTAGCCCCTTACCCCACCCGATCCATAAACGGAGGTGCAGAGGCCCAGGGCCATGGGTCCAGGCGCCCTCATGGACAGTGCAGTCTGGGGGGGACACTGGGTGCCGAGGGAGGCTCCTCTCCAGCAGGTGAGGACAGAGGCCCCACTTGTGCTTGGGATGCGTCCAGGGTGAGCCCCAGGCCTCTGTGGGATCAGGATTCGGATCTGCCCCAGGGGACTAGGGCAGCCCAGGGAATGGACCAGGTCCCGTCCCCCGGCCACCCCAGCAGCCAGGAAACATTTGTTCGGTCCCCGCTGGAAACTCCTGTTGGGGTCGGACCCTGTTGGGGACCCCTGGGGCTGCCCTCTCCCTGAAACTCTGATGTACCTGCTTGGGTTCAGGATCCCTGGAGGTCTGCTGTGGGTTCGAGTCCAGACCCCACCCTAGGCGGGGCGGCCTTTCGCTCTGGGCCCCGGGGGCACTGGCCTGACTCCCTGGGTGGGCGTGGGAGAAGCTTCCGGGACAGACTCACCAGAGCCATTTCCCAGGATGCTCCACC